TTTCAGGCAATTAGTTTCACGATTCTATTCTACATAGACATAATCAATTGGGTTAGATTCATAGTTTATACTTTAGTTTATTCGTTGGATGGTTCTATTCTTATTCTTATAATCAAAAGTAAACTCTTGAAACTATATTTCACATACCGTTTATTTCTAGTTTTTGATTTCCAAACGGACTCTTTAAACTGAATGGAGAAATATAATCATAAATGATAAAAGTTTTAAATAAACGGTAACGTAGATAGTTTTATTCATGAGGTTATCTATTGTTGTTCACTTGATTATAATTCATGCTTATTTCTTGTAGGTGTTATTGTGTACTCTAATCAACACAGTTTTATTCTCTGAGCTGGATGGTTTGGTCGTGGAGCATTCAACATTCTTCTGAACGACATCAGCAGCATAAACTTCGATCTGAAAGGTCTACGACCAAACCATCCAGCTCAGACAACAAAACTTCATCGAAATCATCCACAAAAGATACAATTCTTCACCATCTCAACACAGTTTTATCGTGAAATCCTCATTACTTTCCTAGATAACATCACCAGTACATAATTATTTTTAAAATATTTAATACTGATTTATTATAATTTATGATTGAATCATTCATCTTGGAGAACTTCACATTATATAAGCTACAAATCGCTTTCATATTGTCAATTGTTCATTATGACATTCAATGTTCATTTTGAGTGTAAATTTTCGTGTACATCGAAGATAATATTGTTTTATGGTTCACAGATCAATATTATTCGGTGTTCTTTTTCTTCTGTAAGTTTGATAATTCAATTATTCTTCATATTTTGGGTTGATAATGACAACATTAGTAATAGTAGTATTGTAATGAACTAGAACAAAGGTGGTGATAACTAAATGTTTTAGTACAACATTTCAGAATAACTTGATAAAATCTGAGAATCATACAGTAATACTTCATTTACGAAATATCCACCAAGTGTTTCAGACTTTGTTGTTCTTTAGTTTCCATACCAATCACTCTTTGTCCTCGTTCTCCTCCTCTCGATTTTTTCAACCCTCTCCCGCCAGGCATTTTACGCTCTATTGGTGATATATACTACTTATATCAGTCGACATCAGTAGCACACACTACATGATTGTATTTCTTCTGAAAATGATCATATAATGTTCACTAATCTGCAAATATAGTCTAGTAGAGGTAACATTTAAAGATAAGACAACATTATTCAAATAAATTTCAACTGGAAAGCTTTGGCCGAAATGTTAATAATTTGAAGCATAATATAAATGTTAAATCTGTCATTAAAATTGACATTTCGGAGTACAGGATTATTTTCTAAAATCACATCACAATTATCATGAATTTCGTAAAAAGGAGATGAAGTGAGCATTTAACTTATACAGCTTAATGTTTATTTAATTTGAGATCATGAATCGATCAGTGTTAGACCACCAATAGAAACCTGGAAGCACTGAACAGCCGTTTCGTTCTAGTATAGGACTGTTCAGCAGTGTGCATCCACGACTCCGCACGCGAGACTCGAACCTAGGACCATCCGTCTCGCGCGCGAACGCCTGATCTCTAGAGGCGATATCCAACGGAATTAATGTCTAACTTCAAATAATCCGTGAAATTACTCGACCATCTTTGATTATCTGGAGTAGATACCTGTCTCTACCTGACATGGTGGTGGTCTAATTCTGCAAGCCTATTTTATTTCATGATGTCCTAATCTTATTAGGATTCTGTATGAAGTTCCTATAGTCTTTGAATGTTAACATGATTAAGAAAAATTGGAACAAGCAACTAAATTTTTGGTTTCACTTGTTTCAACTGGTACTCTTATACAAGATGTATCCATATATTGAGGGATTCAAATCCATGTTAAGAAGTATTACATAGAAATACATTTTTGTAGACCTATTTGGGCTGTGAACAACTTCTTGTTGACATTTATACGAATAAATATTCAATGTCATATAATGAAGATCAAATTCTATCATTTGGACTTTACTTTGACAACTAGCCTAAATGCGGGGAAACTAAAAAGAAAACAAAAATGCAAAAAATATATTGACAACATTTAAACATTTTTTGAAATCAGCACTAAGAACTTGATAGTTGTTACCATGGTCACCATTCTATGTTTAATAAACCTGATTAGTATTTAATAAATTACTGAAATCGACCATAACCCTGCTAAGGTCGATGAAACGTTATATAATTTGAAAAAGAAACCTGACCAATCACTATAATCAGTAGTATCTGCTTAGTAGAATCTATAATCCATAGCTAAAGGTATTTCAACAAGTTTCTTTTATAATTAAATATATTTCACACAAAAAATACATTGTTGTATAAAAAGATTAAAGGTTTCTAATTGGGTTAGGTCATACAAGCTATTTTTTATCGCACAATTTCTGTTCTAGTTATGATACTGTTGAAATTTGTATTTTCCTTTGCCTGAATAACTCTGATGTAAGTGTGTCTCATTCTGTTTGATGAACTAACGTTAGTTAGTTGTTTGTGATTTGAACTGTTCATTCGACCATGATGACAATCGCAAAATATTAACATGATCATTATTGAAAAATAGGAACATAAGTTGACTGATTAGATTCAAATTTGTGGATAAATGTAATTTTCATTTGTATAGAAAACATTTAACTGACACATTTCATTCTTGTTAGTAAATAAAGAAATTAATTAAAGATGAAATTAAAGATTCTAAAGCCAAACTAGCGGTTCTTCTTCATCAACTGACTTAATACTAAATGAGGATAAATAACATTAAAGCACAAAAGATTAAGCTTAAATGAATCGGTAAAATGGTGCATATAGCTCAACAAGAATCTTTTCGACCATTGACAGAAACGAAGTATATGTGCTTCTCGTAGGTAGTATGAGCCTTTTGCAGCTACAAATAAAACTTATTGTTCATTATGAACAAAGATTCGGTATAGAGCTTACAAAAATTCTCATTCATCGTCTAATGAATCTGTAATATGTTGAGGGTATTTTTTCAATTCGAAATATTTGCTCGAATTTTTTTTATGCAAAGCGACAAGTACAACATCGGGAAAATAACTAAAAAAAATTAAATTGTCATTACTCGGTAGTTAATCAATAACAGATTTTTAAGGCCTACTTGAGGTCATTTTTATCTCAAGTAACTCAATGACAATTTATCAGAATTCGAGTGTGCCTAGAATCCACAGTGGAGTATCAGTCCAGTGGCTAGTGGGTACCAACTAGCACGAAACGTATGTCTAACGTTTTCTGTCGATTACCTTTAAGCAACTAACACCTCAAAAATGAGTCCATAAAACGATGTCTTAATATATACTAAAACACCGTTGGATACCGGCTCAGTGATCTAAAAGATAAGTATTCACGCACGAGACCGAAGGTCTCGGATTCGAGTCCTGCTTACGGAATCATGGATCCACACTGCTGAGCAGTCCCATACTGGAACGGAACGACCGTTCAGTGCTTCCAGGTCTATCACTGATTGATTTATAATCTCATTCAATAAATACTAGTTGTGTTTCATTCATTTCAAAAAAAATTTTATATGCTTATTTTAACGTAAACCAACTGTCATAGAATTCATGTTCATACATATCACTTCTGTAAACTCTTGGATTGATATAAAGTGAAATTACAGAAATGAACATGGACATCTAAATTTATTGTTTATTTTTCGAAAAATGTCATATTAGCAAAATCGTTCAATGAAAACATTAACGCAAGTTTATTTGTTAATGCCATTTTTAAATAGGAAAGAAATTAGATGGTATTTAATATTTTCATACAATATGCTAGTGAAGTTTGTTCTGTCTTCCATTCCCCCCCCTACATGAACATTAGCATTATGTAATCTAATTGTTAAACATGCTAGGGAACTACAGTATATTTAAAAGACACTTTTCACTATAAACAGAAATAAGCGTAACTGCTTCAGTGAATTTGTACCTGAATTGAATGCTTTTGATAGTGTTGCCAATTGGGCATCTTTTAGTTCATAACACAGTCGATCACTGTTTATGCAAATATGGTATTGTTTGGTGTAAGATGTTTTGAGCTCCTCTTTTATTAATATAGACGAGTGACTTGAATCGATCTCTGTTAGGATATGAGACCTTTTAGCAGACGATTCAACATAGCATGTTCTTTCAAGTTACTACTAAGTCAATATGTTAATGGATAACGGGTTCTTTTTTGAAGCAATGAGTACTGAGTTTGGATCTCATTTTGTACGTCAACATTGAGACGCAGATGAGAGAGACAAAAGAGTCTTAAACAGAACAGAACGCAATAATTAGATCCTAGTGTTAGCCACAGTCCAAAAATATAGTTTAATAATTTATTAAGATTCCTGGAAGAGGATTTTGTGGATATTTACTATTTATTATGTGACATTATAGGAATTTGGGATTTGGATAGTTATAGTTGTTCTGAAGCATATCCCAGTATTGATTTAGGTATTACAGACTTTTATACAATCATTAAAAAATGTAACTTCCATATTTCCTTCGGCTTGCCTAACACAATAACGTATGGTATATAGTCAGTTAACCTAACTAGATAAATTGCAACTACCCTGGGTCTATAGTAAAATTAGTTATCCTACGAAGTCAAGTGATCTTATCGCAGCTTAGATTGGAAATTCTCACAACACATTGATTCCTTAAATAATTCTAAACTTGTGGCCTGATGCACTTACTGCTATACTGACTGCTAACAATTAACAAACAGTTAAATAGAACAAGTCCTTGCTTAAGACGTTATATTTAGTGAATACATAGTACTTATTACTAATGTGCACTGATAGGTAGTCAGACAGTAGACATGTAGGCGGGCACTTTAATCAGATAAATAATGAACTTACTCATCATAGGTTTCCACCCACGCTAACAACTGGTTTACCATGAATATTGTGTCACCAATATGAATTAAAATAATTAATCATACGGTTTAAAAGTTCTACTGACTTTTTAAAAAAATTGCCTTAGTAAAGGGAAATTTCAAATCTCATCTTGAAAGAATCCAAAAATGTGTTTAACCTAAACACTACTGGTGTGGTGTCAGCTACTTGCATTCACATAAGTAGAATATAACGATAGTCAGGAATAGAATGTATTCCAGTAAAAGATCGATAAGGAAACAACGGGAATGGAAAGCGATCGATATGAAAATGCACAAACAGTGAAAACTGAGACAATGGATTGAGATTTTCAAAAGGAACAGTCAAGTTTGAGACATTATATGGTTCTTAGATTTTAGTGAGATATTTTGTAATTTCGCGCTCAAATACATTCGGTTGATCCCCACTCGTGTTCTTGTTCACTACACTAGGAGTAAAGTCAAGTTGACTTTTCAATGTATAAACGTTTCTGCCATGTATTTTTTTCTGTTAATGGTATTGATCAAAATTTAAATCGTAGCTTAGTTTTATAATATACATGTTAAAAGATATTTTTATGGCACTTTTTTTCTCTCATTTAACAGGTGGAATTTTATCATTTTGTTCAGAACCTGAAACAGTATGTACAGTATTTCGTCCATGCTGTGGAAGAGATTGGGTATGTAATCGTAAAAGTTCTGCTACTGGCAAATGTGTTCAATGTGCACAAGCTAATAGTCCATGTATTCATGCAAATGATTGTTGTCGAGGTGCATGTATAAAAGGTTCATGCAAATTGATGAGTTTCTTTGGTGAGGAATGAAAAAAAAAGAAGTTGATTACAGATTAGATTTATTTCTTCAAAATATCATATTTATGGATAATAATAAAAAAAATACATTTCTATATAAATAGTACTTTGTTTTACTTTATCAATCTTCAGTAAAATGATTTGATGATATAAACTATTCTAAAATTCAGTTGTATCCAACTAGAATTCAGGATCACTTACAATATATAATCGTTAGCAGTCAATTTGATATAATTTAACCAGAATATTAAATCAGTCATTTCATTACAATGATACCGTTTTTTCAGGTAGTGCTTTCTAGATAGCAACGTTTAACATTCAAAATTTAGAAACGTGTAAGAAATGTAACCATTGAAAGTTTAATATATTCTTTACTAACATTATCTAATTCGATGTGATTTGGTTCTTATTTTAAATTGACTTATTAAATAGTCATTGTTTATACCTAAATTTATTGCCATTCTGTTGAAAATATAGTTATCAGTATAGGGTTGTGGAGATTATTCAGTTTTTGATTGAGATCATGAACCGACTGATGTCAGACCATTGATAACCTGGAAGCACTGAATGGCCGTTTCGTCCTATTGTAAGGCTCCACAGCAGTGCGCATCCACGACCCCGCTCACAGGATTCGAAACTGTCGTCCAGTGCTACAGGTTTTCAATAGTGGTCTAACATCAATCGGTTAGTGATCTCAATCGAAAATATAGTTATTGTTTAGTTAGGTAACATTGTAAATCATACCAATCTGGTTCGGTTTTTCAGCTGTAAATCTAGCTATATAATACATCATTGCAAGGAACCCTATTTTATGTTTACGAAACAGAACCTCATCTAGTTAAATATACTCGAGGATACTTTGTGTATGATCGTCCCCAAATGCCCTGGTACGACCAAGAGTAAGGAGAGTCAGTTTCCTCTCTCGAAACGCTCTCACATGGCCACATGCATACAACTACTGCCAGGGAAGTCCTACTCACTGCGTTCTCGCAGCATTACTGTTGTTTATGAAATTGGGAGGACGAAAAGCGAATGTCTGGCGCTTGAACCAGGTTGGTGGTGAGTACGGAGGATCCACCTAGGGGATTTGGAAAACCCTGATTCCAAAGCAATGATGCACATGGCCTCCAGAATTCTGAGTGAACAAACGGCGTATGAACCAATCGTTGTTCACAGGCTACCATGGGACTACATTTCCTTAAGTTGCTCCACTGCCTTGTGGATTAGACCTTTAGGTCGAAGGCTTCGGGTGTTGCCCTTCTAAAAAAACCACCTGCTTCGGTTTATGCACAAAAACTGAATGATTTATGCAGCACATATCTATTTGGTACCTCCTTGTACTAGTGTTTATGTGTTTAAATAAATGAAATAAATGAACTATATATGATGTTGTTAGTTCCAAAATGTTGCAGTCGGTCATTGGCAATATTATATAAGTGATGCTTAACATTGACAGGGATTATTTAACAAGAAATAATGATGATTTTAATTGGTGTTTTCTGCAACAAAAAACAAACAAACAGAATCTATATACCAGAAGGGATTTTGTGGAAACTTTAGTGATTTCAATAGTTGAAATCATGAGTCAATTGAAGCTAGACCACCATGGAAAACACGGAAGCGCTGCACGGCCGTATCGTCTCATTGTGGGACTCCTCAACTGTGTGCATCCACGATCCTGCCCCCAGCAAGATTCGAACCCAGGACCTGACAGTCTCATGCGCGAGCACTTAACCATTAGACCACTATGGTCATCCAATGCTTCCAGGTTTTCCATGATGGTCTAGTTCCAATTGACTCATGATTTCAACTATTAGAATTTATCTACGTTTATAAAGTAAAAGAAATTCACACTATTGGAAAAGTGAACTCGATAAGAAAACAACAATAAACACTAAAGCAAATTTTATTTTTAAGCGATAAATTTAACAAAACAAAAATAAATTGGAAAAATTAATTAGTTATTCTTTAGAAACTAATTTAATAATAAACACAACAGTATTTAATTGATCTGAGAACATCTCACTAACCTGCATTATACAAAATAAACCTTTATGGAATGATATAGAAAACATTTTTATTTTTAAAAAAAAGGAGACGAATGTAAACACTAGTAAAATGATTTTATCAAACTGTTGAACCGTTCATAGTTTGCTAGCAAGTTGCAAAGTAACACATTTTAAACCATTCAAAACTTCCAGAACATCAAATCATGAGAAGGAACATCAAAACGATTAGTGATCAATTAAAAATTAAAAAAAACAACAATGATCTTAGCTTATTAGATCGGAATAATTGATATAAACAAACCGGGGTAAACATGAAGGACTATTATAAAATTGTTTATGCAAAAATTAAAAAAACCCAACAACAACAACAACAGTATGCTGAATAATTAAGCAAACAAATGTTGTTATGTAATCCATTTATGAAAATCGAGAAAAAAAAGAAATGCAAAACAAAACAAAAAAAATGTTTGTTCACAGGGATGGATTAGTGAGTTCGAATTCAATTTACAGATGATCATTTGTTTATCTTCTTAATAGTACTTGTTCGTGTAGTAGTAGCCCTGTTGAAGTTGGTAGTTTTCGCTTTGTCAAAGAAATATAGAAAAAAAATACACAGTAGTTTAGAAATATGTAATTTTAAAAATTTCAAATTTAACTAGTAGGGATATTCAGAAAAATATTCCCAAAATTATTCTGTTAGGTCTAATGCTATTCTTGGACTTGAGGTGGTATAATTTTCCTATTGGTCAATACTTATTACACGTGTCATTTTCCTGTTGGCCAAATATTGTACCGATGTTATTTTCTATTTTATGGTACGATGCAGTCTGCTTGATTGGTATATAACAGAATATGTTTGAAATACAATAATTCACATCGCAGAGGCTGAGACTTGCGTTCTGGACTTATCTGGCTGGGCTAGGCAGGAAGCAGGGACAATCAAGACTCTAGACTGCTTATACGGTTTACGCGTCATTGATCCGATCGATAAGTCACTACTCTCTAACCAGTGATCACACGTTATAACAGGGAGATCACAATTATATTTAGCATTAAAGATAACCAAACTTCGATTCATACCAACCCTACTGTATTTATTATGGAGTGATAATTGAGTCGTAGAATTTAATGTATGAAAGAATCAAAACAGTTGAAGTTTAATTCATTTGGTGTTGTTTACTCATTATCTTCCGATTGTTATTTAGAACGAAACGCGATCCTGGATTCCGCTGATAAATACTATCCATCTTTTCTTATAAAGCATGTGACTTCAGGTGATATCGAGGCAATCCGAACAGGATGCACGTATGTCAAAAAGAGACCGATCAATTACAGTCCTAAATAACAATGAGAAGATACAAGTACGCAACACCAATTGAATATAACTTCACCCCGTTTCACAAGCAAGTGGCTATTAGGACTCAGTAGCTAAGTGGATAACGCAATGGCGTTTGAGGCGAACGGTAGAAGGTTCAAGTACCGAAGTGAACATCAACTGTGAGATGCATGTGCATCCAGCTGACGAGTCCCAGTTAGGGCGTAACGCGTGTCGAACTGGACCCCACTGCTAGCCACTATCCATTTTTATTTATAAAGTTGAAGAATAAGATAATTAACGAGAAATGTAGAAGAGGATTGAAACTTTACTGGCTATTTGTTGATATTTCAGCTCGATATTTTTAATTACTGAAAAATTTAATAAATATGTTACATAAGTATAAGAGGATGACTAGTTTCTTGAGTAAATTATCAGTCCAATCATTGAATTGATTTCCGATAAGCTTATCAAAGCAAGTGAACTATTATAAATTTGGTACGAAAAAGTACATGAGATGAGTCTTTGAATCTGCAGTGAGTTTATGACAAAGTTCAACTCTGAAAAAGGTAAGAGATAAACTTTGCCTTTCAGTAACATTGAAACCACAGTCTTCGTTCTGAGAAAATACTGTCTCTTACTCTGGAAAGTTAAACCATCTTTTGATTTCAAATGAATATGACAGCTTAACATTGTCCGTCAGAGTTGAAAAAATCATTCGATTTTTGACATTAGCCTTATTGGGTTCTATAAAGTACGTCGGTACTACATTATTACACTGAATTCTTCTCAAGAAACTGAGCCTATTCTACAATCTGTCAACCCATTACAGTCTCAGACAACAAAAACTGTTCTAATGAAATGATTCAAATAAACGGCTTGAACGTTTTGGTTCTTAGACTCATGTAACTTCTATAGTGAGGGTTTAGTCTACCATGCCGAAACGCAATTAATAATGTATTAATATCACGATTTCGATATTTCTGTTTATACTATCATAAGGTTGCACTTTGTTTATGAATGATAACTCTACGCTTGTTAAAATTATATCTGTTGTGTTGTATATATAGTCGATAATATTGTACTGTGAAATGATATCATTTATGTTTACACATCCTGCACACATTTCATATCTCCTATGACTAACAACTTTATCCGAACTGCCCAAGTTTTAGGAAAGCGAACGCTTTCCTTTATCATTGTTAATATCTATCGATTTGATCATCCCTGAAAACTGACGTTTATTCTGTACTCATTTTCCAAATATATCATTATTAGTATCATTGTGTAGCTACTGGTACTCAACCGGTCTATATATATGTTGGGTGCCTTGAGGATTTCCTCAGAAATGTCTTCAGGAGCTAGAAATGAAAGAAAATACTCTGAACAATTAATGTAAAATAGAAACTTCCCAGTGCAATGATGGATTATAAGTAATATACGGATTAACCGACTACAAATTTTGTTACTAATTTTAGAATGATTACAAAATCTTCTGTTCAAGGCTTAAGTGTAATAAATTTATGAAGGATCAGGTAATTAACAAGTCAGTATCAACTATTCATATATCACATATATTAATCCTCATATAAAAATACTTACTTGGAACAGTTTGTTTTAGTAATGAAGAGTTATTATGGATTGATGCTTCATTCTCATATGATGAATTCAGTGATTTCATGTCACAATCCTTATTTGTTAAAGGAGTTGATACAAATGATCTTTGTTCTTTAGAGTTCATATTGTTTAATGTAGTAAGACGTGATTTATTAATTGGAGTTACATTAATTAATCCTAAATTACTTTCACGTTTTGATATGGAATTTGTATTCATTAGATTAGCCTTTATAGGTGTAATACCAAAATGACTTGTTTTATGGGTAACTATAATATAAAATATTAAATTATTCACATTTTAATTAATTGAACTAAAATTATCATCATTATAACATGAAACAAAATCCTTATTTTATTTGATTGAATAATCAAAATGATTCGATAAAACACTTATTCAGTGAATTAAGTTTGGAAAGATGATAATCATATAAAAAATTGCCAGTGAACATGTAATGTCAGTCATTATGTTAAGCTCAAATAATTGATTCTAACTTATGAACAGGTCAGTTTCTTTTCATTCTTCTTAAGTCACATCTTGAACTTGTCAATTATTCATTTATCAACCCTTCTCCACTGTGCAACATTTCACTTTGCTCTCTTCTATTCGCTTCATCCTCCTAAATGTCTGTTCAGATCAATGATTGTACAAAATATACGTTTTCAAAATCCTTCCTTGTATTTGACTTATTTTAATTCCGTTATTTACTAACGCGGATTAAGTCGATACTAATATATGAGGATTGACGACATTGTATATCTCACATACTGGAGTCAGATCTCGGGCCATTAAAAACATTTCAGGATTTTTCAGAAGAGATGATTAAATTGTAAGAGTTTAGCCAGGTTTTGTGTTATAATACTTGCGTAATTACATTCCTTTTAAAATATTCTTACAATATTTTCAGGTATTCAGCTGAACTAGTCTAATAAAAATGGGCTACGAAAAAGAGGATTCACTAACGGACACCTGTGAAATACTGTAAAATTCAAAATATTGTCGAAACCAACAATCTTGTTTACAAAAACATAAAATAATCCTATCTTTTGGGGTTTGGATTTTAGTTAAAGAATCATTTGTCTCCAAGAATCATTAGATTGTTATTTAGTAATAGTATGAGACTAATCAATAGCACATACCCACAATCCAACACCAGAGATTGAACGAAGGACCTTTGGGTATTACATATACAGAGAGACTTACTATTAGATCAGTGACATGACAATCAACGATTCACATCATTTACGTTAGTCAATTCACAACATAACCCAATGGTCATGAAGGTGGGAAGGATAGATATGCACTGATTTATCAATTATAAGACATTACAGATTGAAGCTTATAATTTTGTCTACATCTAGTTTATTCGAATAGAATGAATGAAAAAATGTTTAAATTAGACTATTATTATTATTATTATTATTATTATTATTATTATTATTATTATTATTATTATTGGCATATAACATGCATAAACAATGAATAAGTATTGTTTATTTTAAGTTTATGACTCAATCCATTATGATTCATATTGTACTACACATAACGAATATTATTTTGTCAGTTTAATTTATGCTATGCCAAATATATTTTGTTTAAAAATGTATGTAGTTTATACAGCATACAGTTGTGTATATTTTTCTCCTGCAAAAACATCTCCAATACATAGATTTATAAACTTTAAATAATGTGCCATCCTATTACGTCCAACCCCCTACCATCACTAGTAGGTAATAATGAAACAGTCGATATTTGGAAGTACAATTTACAATTGATTTTTCACTGAATAATGACCAGTGAGATGTCTATTTGTTCCTTTAGTACTGGCCGAGTTTCATCGGCTAGTTTACTACCAAATGCCTTGATATAGCTGAGAGTAGGAAAATTCCCGTCACCCTTTCGAAATACTATTATGTGGCCACGCGCATATAGCTAATCCTAGGGGAGCTCTACTCACTGTCTTTTTGCAAAAAGGGTGGTGTTTACGAAACTGAGAGAAGCTCAAGCGAATTGATAAAGCGAATTAAATGATGAATCGCAACTGACTGCATTCATTTCAAGAGCATAAGAACCTAATAAAGCAGTATGTGAGAATGCGGGTTTGTGGAGATTGTAATAATTTTAAAAGTTGAATTTATGAGTCAATCTGAGCTAGAGCACTATTCAAAACGTGGAAGCACTGGACAGTTGTTTCGTCCTAGTGTGAGACTCATCAGCAGTGTGCATCCACGATCCTGTGTATTAGGAAAGTGTAGTATAATTTACTATTTCAATTCAACCATATCGTTTAAGCTAATTTCCTTAAAAATTGTCTAATCTCAAAATGATGATTGAATTCATTTCTATGGTACCATAATCAAACATCAGAGCGAAGGTTATGGAAATCGTTAGATTTTTTATTGAGATCATCAATCAACCAATGTTAGACCACCATTAAGAACCTGGAAGCACTGAACGGTGGTTTTGTCCTAGTATGGGACATCTCTGGATACTGCTGGATGCCAGCTCAGTGGTCTACAGGTTACGCGTTCGTGCGCGAGGCTGGAAGTCCTGGGTTCGAGTCACGCATGCGGAATCGTGAATGCGCACTGCTGAGGAGTCTCTCACTAGGACGAAACGGCTGTCCATTGCTTCCAGGTTTGTAATGGTGGTCTAGCTTAGATCGACTCAAGAGTTCAACTATTAAAATAGTATTTGATTAGAGAAAAATCGTAATCTAGCTGATTGTCAATTGTAAAAATTCAATGATACTGGTAGCTCAAAAGTTATAAATCGCTTCCTGTCACGATCCAGTTGTTTTTCATCAGCTTCAATCACAAACTCTGTAATTTCATATTAACATGAATACCCATTATACTGAGTGAGGAAGTAGGTAATACTTGATAAAATATACATAATCACCAAATTAGTAGCTTACTTCTGCATGGATCACGTGAATCCAAGAATTCATTTAAACTCATCCATCCACCTCCTACTCGCACAATCGTTGTACTATTCAAGAAGCGAACCAAATAAACTCGTGAACTGGATCCAAACTTTAAAACAAGGCGAAAAAACTGTATAAGCAAATTACCTCTTGCTTTTTCACACCGAAAACAGTTACATGGAACACATATATTAAATAAAATAAAGTAGAAATTGATTAAAGGGTAGGTCTTTTTATTTAGTATAGAGCGTACTGAATTTGGTAGTTTTACATTATAAACTACACTTAGTTTAAAAAAAACTATCACAAACCAAGAAGTAATAGATAAATCTTTGGTCTAAGTATTCATCTGTTCATCAGTGTGTATTCACAATCCTATTGAGAATCGGACCCAGACCGTTATTTAATTGCATGAAGTTTTAGAAAGCATCAGTAGTTTCGTAACCTATTTTATAGATCACACGTACGAAAATAAACTAATGAACACGTGTCATTGGTGTTGTAGGCAAGAGTATAACAGAATTAAATTAACTTAACTTACACAATATCGATCCTTTCCAATTTTTCTCGGTTGAAATTTCGGTTGACAAATACATTTACTAGTTTCTTGTTCTATTGCATGTTCAATTAATTTATCGGTTGGTAGAGGTTTATGCTGAAAAATATAATTTGAATTCGATAAAAAAACAACAACTTTTTTCTGTATTAATAAATAGGTTGTAAGTTTTGAAAAATGTATTAAAAAGATTTATTCTAGAACAGTGATTAACAGATACTCTGTTTTTCAATTAAATTGTTTTTAGATTACGTAAAGATGGATAGTGGCTAGAGGTGGAATCCACGACAGCCGTTTCGTTCTACTTGGGACTCATCACCTGGGTGTACCAGAATCTCACAGTTGATGTCCACTTCGGGACTCTAACCTACTACCGTTCGCTTCAAACGCCATCGCGTTATCCACTTAGCTACTGAGTTCTAATAGCCACTGCTTGTGCAATGGAGTGAAGTTATATTCAATTGGTGTTGTTTTACTTGTATATTGCTATTGTTATTTAGGACTGCAATTGATCAGTCTCATGTTGGCATAAGTGCATCAACTGCAGTCCTAAATAACAATGGGAAGATACAAGTAAAAAAACACCAAGCGATGTGTCCACAGTCTATTAAATGCTCTTGTATAGAACTAGTAATTGTTTTACATTCATCTTATAAAAGCCAAGCCGGATAATGTTCTGAGTTGCGTTTGGAAAGTGATCGCTTTGTGCGGCCTATGTAACAATTATTCCTAATTTATAGAAAATGACTTTAAAATAACTAAAGAAACCCATTGATTCATTAAGGAAAAAAAGAAAGACCTCTTTTCACCGAAGAAAATTCTTTTTCAACGATACTATTTCCCTATGATGTACAACTGCATTTATATGTAATTTTTTACATCTAGTAGTCTATGATAAAATAGAAGAGTGTTATACAATTTTAATAGTTGAAATCATAGGTCATTTGAAGCTAGACCATCATGGAAAACCTTGAAGCGCTGGATGGCCTATTGTGGGACTCCTCAGAAGTGCATATCCACCGTTTGCTTCAAACGCCACTTACCCACTGAATCCTGATATCCACTTGCTTATGCGTTGGGGTGAAGTTTAAATTCACTTGGTATTGTTTGTTTGAATTTAGGCTATATCGAGGCAATATGCACAGTATACACATATGCCAATAAGAGACTGATCAATCGCAGTCCTAAACATCAAACAAACATTACCGAGTGATTGTTTTTAGAGTTGACAACATTGTATCAACTCTTGATCATATACACACTAGACAGATGACTATAAAGTATTTGTATCTCATATTTACATAGATACATTGTGAAACAAGTTTTCCCAGGACAGGATTGGATGGCGAATGCTGGTGAGCGGCCTATGTTCCTTCACGAGGAGTAACAGGTGTAGGTAAGTAATTGTGAAACAAATGAGAATAAAAAGATAATATTAACCACTAATACAGTTAGTAATGAATATCCAATTAGATTTCAATAATAAAGATAAATTTGATTACATCCTAAACAAAATTTGAACGGAAACCGTTTATATTTAGAATATCAAGCATTAAAGAACGAAAAGCATTTTTAGCTAGTTGGTCTTGGGAGATCAGGTGACTGTTTTACTTGTTTTGATTAATTAATGAATGCTGCGCATGTCTTCAATCAGATTTTTAAATGTAGTATAAAGTTACTCAAGAAATACCAGTTTATCCGTTTGGTAGATTTGAAAATACTTTTACTTTCATCAAAGTATTTCACTGAATATGTTAAAACTATTTGCAAATTGTAGGTTGGTTAAAAATGGGAACATCAAAGGAACAATTATTGATTATGCAGAATAGGATTTATTTTACAATGTTTATCAGCATTTTACAGAATACTGTTTGTCTTTATAAACAAATCTGACAAACGTATGTATTAATGAAACCATAATAAAGATAAATCTTAAATATGTAATCAAAATCATATGTGTACGAAAAGTTTAAAGCAAACTATTTTGAGTAAGAGCACTTATGATGGAAAACTTATTCCACGTTTTATTGTTATCGAAGAAGGTTTTTCGTCTGACTTATTACATGAAGAGATTGCATGCTCTTGGGATTACTCGTCATGTACTCTTACAATTTGTCAATTCTTGCATATTACCTATTATTCTTTACTGTTCTCCATTATTCTTTCCCGGGCTTTTGAGAAAAGACTTTCCTGTATTGCGGAGAGTGCTGAAGGCAGTTAGCAAGATGTGTGGTGAATCTTTCGAGGTCATAATTAATATGGTTGTGGATAGACATCTAAAATCATGCAAACTCCTGGCAGGTGTTAATTTATCAGATACTAACCATCCACTTCACTCTTATCTTTCTCCTTGTATATCTCCTGGTAGAACGAGACATCAACACATTAAGATCCATACACGCAAGCAAAAGTATAAAAGTTCTATAATACCGTACCCAGCAAATATACTCTGTGACAAACAGGTTGTTAGAGTTAACCTAGTCAATAACCTGCATTCTTAATATGTCTCTAATTTGAAAAGTTGTACAGTTTTTCGGTTTTTCTAACTTTTTTTTTCCTTTTTTTGTCTTCGTCACTGTTTTTTTGCGTAAGTAACTTGTTGAAATACCCTGTGCTAAGAATCTTTTATTGTACCAAAATATAATACTGAATAAAGCCATTAATAATAATAATAATAATAATAATAATAATAATAATAATAATAATAATAAGTATTATTATTATTAAGAATAGTAACTGATTTACTGTTGCTATATTTTATGAGTGTATTGAATTGTTTACTATTGTATTATGATCATTTACACTTACCATTGTGTAATATATTCTGTCATTAATATATGGTCTATTTCTAAAATAATACAAAGTCTCTTGTAACGATCTGTACTTAATTTTTCTTAACATTTATATGTCCATTGAAGAGTTATTTTTGTGAATGATTGATTACATCTAGTTCCTAGTTGTTGAACTAACCATCTATATTGAGTATTCAATGAAATAGTTCGTTTCATACATTTATAAGTCATAATTTTGATATGAAAACATGAATAATTTGAATTGCTTCTTTTAAACCGAAGAAATAAAAAATATATATAATTACCTGTTTTTTTGGACTTAATGCTTCAATAATCTGATGACATGTAACTATGCCTTTTTTTGCTTGGTCAATTGTATAAAATGCAGATTTGATGAAAATAGGATTTGCCCAATCATGTGTTGGTCTACCATGTAGAACTGCTTGTATAAATTGTGAACAGTTTACTTCATCTGGTTTATGACTGACATTTTGTTTATGTTTGTTATCAGAGAGCGGTTGTAATGATTCGATACTCGATCGGATGAGTGATGAACGACTGTTAGATAATTGGGGTTTGATATTATTAGACGAAGTATAAACTGACTGGGAATTCTTAGATACATTAGATAATCGTGTTGGACATTTGAATAAATCAGAATTCACTTCATCTATATTGGTGGATATGTTTGATAGCTGTCTGTCAGTTCGTAATGTCGATAAGACTTTAGGGTTAAATATGTCGCTTAGTCGATAATGACGACTTGCAATCCACTGTAAGTACCCCTGCTTCCACAGGTCGAAATTGAAATGAACTAAAAGATTGTGCTGCAAAAGTTGTAAGGAAGGCAAACATGACTGAAATCAGGGACTACGTTATTAAAGAAACATTGGGGTTTTTAAATTAATTATACATATGATAATGATTTTGAGCATAATATCGAAAGGCTATACAGATAGAAAAGTGGCAAGCACAAGTTACGTCTTACGCTTAACCATACTCTATGTTTAAAAAATTGATTGAGGATTTCGCTTTTCCCTGCTGTTGTTCATTTGTATTAGTTTTTAGAGTGTTAATCTCCTAGGTCGATATGACGTTCTAGTTAGTTTGAAAGATTAACTCGCTAGTAGCAGGCCGGTTTTTGTTCTTGTTAAGGATGTATTGATCGTATCTTGACCCTCCGCCAAATGTTGCAACATAGCCATACTTATTGCAGGTTAACAATCGTTGTGATTCATAACATCAGGGCCTCCTTCGATTTGTTGGACAGGATTGTAGACATCGAGATTTTCTGCTGAAGAAGGGTGTTTGAAAAGTCTACTAATATCTTGAAGGTTCTACATACAAATACCTCAGACAGAGTAAGGGCATACAACAATCTCTCTCCATTGTTTCATTCAAGCAGTGGAGTTAGGCGGGGTTACCCAATCTCACTATTTCTTTTGAACCGTGCCATCGAGACGGTTCGTAAACAGCTCTGATTGATTTAGATAATGATGGTGTAGATCTGATACCTGGAAAAAGACTTTCCAAATTTGAGTATGTGGATGAGACTGTCTTATTGTCTATGATACTCAAGCCATGCAATCCGCATTTAATCAGTTAGCGATCAGCGTCTGTGAGTATAGCATGTACTTTGCACCTTCTAAATGAAAAGTACTTTTAAAAGACTGATAGGAACCTATTTCTTCATTCGCTCTTAATAGTGAACTATCAGAAGTAGCCTAAAAGTTCGTGCATCTGGGTAGTTCCGTGAGTGATGAGATTAATCTACGTATGGTGACAGACAGAGTGGTTTATGCTAATGTGGGCTACTTTTGGCACTTATGTAATGTTAGTCTTTTTGTGAAAGGTCGGGTTTACAACGTATTAATGAAAGTAGTTTTAATCTATGCTTACGAAAAATAGTCCCTCCAAATTGAAGGTGTTAGACAACCCTTTGTGTTTGGTCATTGTTGTCTCCGAAGGAATGGTGACATTCTATAGCAAGACCATGTTAGTAATGCGGAAGTTTGGAAACATTTTCGGTCACAGTGATGTTAATTAGTGTCACCACTTTAAACACCGAATTCGATGACCTGAAATTTTACTACGAATGTAGTCCCACCTGGTTAGAAAACATAGAGAAGTGGTCAAAGAATGACGTGAGGCTATAGTGTGGAAGAAAGTTATGTGGGACGGACATCTGTCAGTCACTCACGACCCCCTGGTTAGAATATTAAAGATAGTGCAACACAGTGGTTTATTTTATTAGACACAGCTCAGAATAGAAGAAAGTGATGGTTATGCTGAACTTTTATTTACTTTCTTGATAAATGTGAAAGAGACGGCTTTAACTGAGGTTATTTCTGGTCGTTTGTTTCCTAGCTGAACTGCTTCCCCCATTATGTACTACCTTCCTTTACTTATTTTGATCGGTTTTTTGTTTCTGATCATTTTCAAACTCCTCTATCTTTTTATAATCTCATTTTTATATTATGTGGGGTTTTCTTATTCTAGTGTCCTTTTGTACAAATATTTTGTTTAAATAAATAAACAATATAATTATTCAAAAATCTTATTTTAAAAGATTTCGCAAGTATGTCATTCAAAACGACTAACACAATGATATCGTGTCCTTAAGATCCTAGTTTCTGACCACTGTGTGTTGTAGGAATTGGATATTGGGCGATATCGATGAGTTGAGAAACTGAAACAAAACTATTTCATGGCCTTGATCTTAGTGATTCGCTTCAAATGGCGGACACCAATTACTAATATAAATAATAATTGCATAAATATCTTTCATATGTGATAAGTTAATTTATGAAAACGAAAATGAACAACTGCGTAGTACGATTAGGTAAAGGTGTAACTGAGTTCATAAGTAATGACATTCTTTTCCATCAAACTGACGAGTTACATACTTGCTTGAACCTGTTGTTCCCAACAGAGCATAGGCCGCCGACCAGCACTCTCCAACCCACTCTATACGGGACCTTCGTTTCCAGTTCTGTCCAATTGTTGTTCATTCTTCTCATTTCGGTTTCCATTTCTTGGCGTAATGTGTTCTTTCGTCTTCCCCTTCTCTCTGGACCTTGAGGATTCCATGTGAGTGCTTGCCTTGTGACGCAGTTCAGTGCTCTCCTCAATGTGTGTCCTATCCACTTCCAGCGCTTCTTCCTGATTTCTTCCTCCGCTGGGATCTGGTTTATTCTCTCCCATAGTAGGTTGTTGCTGATAGTGTTTGGCTAACGGATCCGAAGTATTTTGCTTAGACAAGTGTTAATAAACACTTGCATCTTCTCGATGGTAGCTTTCATAGTGTTGTCCTGTCTACGCTATCAAATGCATGCTCATAGTCAATGAAGTTGATGTAAAGTGATGAATTCCATCCCGTTGGTTGTTCCACAATTATCCGTAGTGTCGTGTTTGGTCTGTACACGATTGATTCTTACGGAATCCAGCCTGTTGGTCTATACGTTGGGCGTCTACAGAGTCCTTCGTTATCCAGGAGGAGTTATCGAATTGACAACGGATATAATATATTGAGATTGAAGATGCTTTTTTCAGTTATACATATAAAGTTCTCAATAATTTACCCAAAGGCTTATGGTCATACGGCTGGCATCAACTTAAAGAAACCCTACCTTTATGAACAAAATAAGATAGCTTTTTGTTTACTATGGCTCAAATTAAGGTCACATTTCATTCGTAGTCCTAACTTATAAGTACGCATTATAGTCAATAATCCTTTCTATTGTGTTCCGATTTGTACTCTCTGCTATGACATAATGTTATTTTAAATCATACATTCATCTTTTTTTATTTTAGATTACATTCTTATTGATAAGTATTGTCATTATTAATTCTAAAATTTACACAACCAACTATATTAAGGAATACGGTAGGATTAATTGCATAGAGTAAATATTTGTATCTATATATTCATTAGGAAATATATTAATCGAGTCAAGGGTGTGATGCATGAAGCACACGTAATGATGACATCTCATTATTATCAGAATAGGTTTTGTGGAGATTTTAGAAATTTCACTATACTAGGATGAAACGGCCGTCCAGTGCTTCCAGGTTTTCAATGGTGGTCTAGCTTCAACTGACTCATGATTTCACATCTCATTATTGCCAAAACAGTAATTAACAGGTATAGCTGGGGTTCATGAGGCTGTGATACAATGGAATTAGTCGAAGAACAACAGATTTGATAGGAATATTGACGGACAGAAATAGATTAAGCAAATATTACATACACTTAAAATTTATATATATATACCTCAAGTAATTTTTTATGATAGCATTCCAATTGTTTAATTCGTTGACTAGACCGATTCAATAGATTGTAATAAGAAGTTTTCAATTTGTTTGCCCTATCACAATTATCCTGATCAGAATCGGTAGTAAAAGATTCGTAAGAATAATCATTATGATAATTTTCATTGACCAATTCCTTTTTTGGTGAATATTGTTCAGTAACATCAATAGAAGGGAGATTATTTATACTACTGTTTCCATTATCAGTAATAATTTCACAAAGGTTCCGATAAGCATTTATACAATCACAAATTTTCTGTTCTCTATTTTTTATGGCTTCAAAGTTTTCCTGTACAAACGATAATAATTAATAATGAAGAAAATGAATCAGTATTAAAGTTCATAGCATACAAAATATAAAGCTCTTTCGTAGTTTATATCACGAACTGACACTATAATTAGAAAACCACTGGAAACTGGGGAAACACTAGATAACTGTTTTGTCCTGGTATGAGACACCTCACCACAGCATATAAACGAACCTAAGATGAAACAACTATCCAGTATTTCTTGGTTTTCAATGGTTGTTTGACTCAAACCAATATTTGATGTAAAATAACAAATTCAAAAGTTTACATAATCTCCTTATACCAATAGTAATCATAAAAATAATAATATTTTCTGAACGTGTGCAGATGATGTTGTTCTGAAGAACGATGAAAACTCCACGACCAAATCATCCAGCCCAGAGAACAGAACTCCACCGAAATCATCCACCTGAGCTACGAATCTTTTGCACTATCTCATTTACAGATATTAGGCAATGAGAAATGACTATTCGCGTATACAGGCTTCACTGAACTTATACAAAATATAATACGTGGCCTTCTAATTTTCAAACCACTATTCATACCAACAAATCTTAGTGACTAATCTGATTACAATGGCCTGAACATTGAACAGTAATTTCGTTGACTTAAGATCCAATACAGTAAGATATATTTGCTCTGATTAATCTTAAAGGTTAAAGTTGTTTAAATCACCTTATATCTTAAAACAAATAGTACACCGAAGTAGTGGGATTTGAAATCGATACACAATTTAGTAAAGTTAAAATATGAATAGAATAAATTGTTGTAAATTGTCGATGTATTCGTTATACAGATCGTCAACACACACTCGCCTATAAGCTATTCAAGCAAAGGAAAAAACAAAATTTGAATTGTTTACCAAAATAATATTACATAACAATATGTTCCAATGGATTACAGTTTTTTCCAAGAAACAAACAATATACAATAAGATACCTGACTTGTAATTTTTGTATATATTTTGCTTTTTTTTACTGTAACAAATAGTTCAGTTTACAATCATGAAATTAATGCTGTCTGATTCTCTATTTAACGAAAATACTTGGCTGGTCAATTGTTCAATTTCGTATAAGGTTTATTCTTTATAGATTGTTATCATTAGAATAATTTAAAGTTATTATAACATAATAACCAAATGTTGGTAGGGAAGATGTTTTGAATAATTACTTGTTTAAATGCTCGATAAAAGATTAACGAAGCTGTATAATCCTAATATCCCTGTAAATAAAGCTTTTAATATGATTTTAAAAGGTAGATGGTAGCAAGCTCTGGGAAATGTCTTACAGACATTAATTAAGAAGGTAAGAAATGAAATAAGTGATTAGTTTCGAACTCTGTAACATTGTGATATTTGCATCGTCAACCATGTTGTAAAATGTCAACGTTAAGAGTTTTCAAGAAGGTGACCTTTCCTAGAGGTAACTGATAATCTTCCGTGTGTTAAGAATTGATAAGAAACTGACCTAAATCGAAGAAAGACTAGGTATTATTAAAGTTTTCACATAGGCGATATCTGGTAAAAGAACAAACTTTGGTTATTCTCCCTCCAAATGCATTGGTATGGTCGAGAGTGGGGTGGGCCCGCTCTCCCTCTCGAAGTGCTCTCACACAGTCACGCGTATACAGCCTCTGACAGGGAATTCCTACTCACTGCCCTCTCGTCGCGGGGTTGCTGTTTACGAAAATGAGAGGACGAAAAGCGAATGTCTGACGCTTTAAACAGACCCCGAACCAATGGTGCACATGGGCTCTAGTATCCTGCGGGAACAAATGGCGTATGAACCAATCGTTGGTCACCGGCTACCATGGGACTGCATCTCCTCACGATGCTCCACTGCCTTGTGAGTTAGACCTTGAGGTCAAAGGCTCGGGGTGTGGCCCCGTAAGGAAACCACCCGGTTTGGTTTGGGTACCCGAGCAATATCGCATCCCACACACAAATATGATGAAATGATGTGGCGCAAATATATTTGGTGTCCTGTTGTACCAATATTTATGTGTTCAAATAAATAAAAATAAAAAATTATTCTCCTATTAATTCGATTAATTTGTTTAGCCAGCTAAATATATAAATTAATCTTTACCTAGTCAACCTTGATTTACTGGAAATAAACGTTTTCTCCATTGATATTATGAAATTACACAAAATTATTCCGATTTTTGCCAATTAAGCAGCTTACTTACTGGAGAATAACAAAGCTCACTTAAAGCTCTAAAAGAGTTTGAAACCAAGACATTCATGTTTTTCAATGAGCGAACCACTTTTGTCTAAATCCATTTCGTCTACGTTCCTTACTTCATTCAGTTCCTGATGTAAGTCGACAATAATTTGATGTCGTCAATGATTATTGTCTTACTTGGAACATGTTTAGTATTTACCAGTCATTATTTCTCATTAAAAATCATGAAATCGTTTCCACAGTCTGATACAATATGGTCACAATCAAGAAGCCATATAATACATTTTTTGACGACTTCTAATCAAGTAATTAGTATACATTATGATCCATAGAATAACAGCCAAATAATCAAAACATCAACTGAAACACATTAACATTATCAAAACTAAATTAACCTACTTTTGCAAAAGTGATTCGCACTTCTAAATCTTTACATATTCCCTCATCAACTGAACCATCAATAACACAGTCATGGTCATCCGCAACATTATCATCTTCTTCATGATCATCATGATTTACCGAGTTAGAAACGCATTCTTTCAATTCATAACTACTTGTATTATGAATTACATGATCACATTCTGAATCCAAAACTAAACTATTACTACTATTACTACAATTAATATTCGCCAATACTTGAGTATCTTGTTCCACAGTCGACCCAATCAAGTCAATTGGGATTATTTGTTTAGATAGATTTTGGAAAATCGTTTCATCTATTGTCAATAATTCATTCAGTTGAAGTGTTTGTTCATCAACCCATTGTTCTTCACATTCGAATTCAATTAAATCATGGATGAGTGCATGTTCCGATTGTTGTTGTGACAATAATTGAAATCGCAAACATTGTAAACTTTGATCGAGCTAATAAAACAGAAAACAATGTGGAAAATCTATCATCATTGTAGTCATGAAATACATAATGTAATATATATGTGTGTGTGAGTATATTACGGTGCAATATTGAGTTGTATCCAAACCAAATATCTCAACGGTATAATTTATAAAATAAAGGTTTTGCTACTTTTCACTAAAGAAGACGTATACACATGAAAATAAACCCTTATATTTCTGATTTCAGTAACAGAGTAGGATATACTGTAAGTTGACCAATTTGATTGACAAATACTGATAACCTGAAGTAGATGACGTTAGTATTATATACGTCGATGATGTGATGGTCAGATGACAGTCATTATAATTGCAATTAATGTCCATATTCAAAATGAAATATTACTTGTTTATATTAGAAGTAATATTAATGCTAATAGCATTATTTTGTAGTACAATGAAATACATTTATTTTGTACAATGAATGTCTTTTTTTAGCGACTTGACAAAAGAAATTGAAACAAACATGATTCTAATTCACTTGGTATTCTTTTACTTGAATCTTCCTATTGATGTTTAGGACTGCAATTTATCAGTCTCTTATTGGTATATATGCATACTGTGCATATTGCCTCGATATTGCCTTAATTCACAAGTATTAAAAGCCACTATCCATCTTTGTTTATAAAAATGATTCTACTTAATTTTAATGTTTTCTAGATAGGAGATTTTAGTGAGTCGTCAGTAACCATTTCTCACAGGTTAAAAATGTAAGTTTTCTTTAAATTCCACTTTGCCAATCCCACAAGGATTTTCAATTTACTTCAGGCTATTTTGAATTATTTTTGTCAGTATAAAGTAATAAACGTTTGTCACATTTACTTTTATACGGTACACCAATCAATATCTACCTTCATCTACATAAGCAAACAATGATATTTTTTTTAATCCATCGAACTGAACCTACTGAAATCGGTAAGCTTGAATCATTTCAATTAATTAGAGAATAACAACAGAGGTTTAGTAGAGTAACAAAAGATTATTTGAGAGTTAAGCAATTAGTTATAATTAGTACAGAGCCTGGTATATATATATATATATATATATATATATATATATATATATATATATATATATATATATATATATATATATATATATCAGAATGGGTTTTGTGGAGATTTTAGAAATTTCACTGGTTGAAATCATGAGTCAATTGAAGCTAGACCACTATGGAAAACCTAAGACGAAACGGCTGTCCAGTGCTTCCAGGTTTTCCATGGTGGTCTAACTTCAATTGACTCATGATTTCAACCAGTGAAATATATATATATATATATATATATATATATATATATATATGCTCGTTGGTTCAAGTTACCATATTGTAAGGATGATTAGAAAAGATATAGAATAAATATAATAGTAATCATAATAAGAACAATTGAATATTGAAAAGATAGTTAAAGTTACTGGAATGAAAATGTAGGTATGTATGTATGCATGAAGAAATACTGAATCTCATGATCTAGAAAACTAGTAAGAAAGTTCTAGGTTAATTAAGCTACATTCATACATTGATGATACTAGTCACAAAAAAGATTTTCCTTCTCAAATCAATTTTCAAATCTAATAAATTTCTTTGATTTTAAACAAAATGATAAATTTGTCAAGTAAACAAGAGGTACAACTTATAGTTTATTAATATTCAGATTATTTCTTATTTGTTTATTAAATAGTTATTTATAATTTACACGATATGCTTTGAAAATAATCACAAATCATCTTTGTTTCAATGATAAACATATTCATGTTAGTTAAATAAGGTGATAATTAAGAATTTTTCAATGATTAGATTGTTAGAACTGTTAATATATAACAATATGAATAGTTGAGAATATAGAGCATAGAATAAAATAGATTGATAATGTTAAATTTATCACTATGTATTGTTAATTGTTTTATCAAATAACTGGTAAATAATAGCTATAAGATAAAAGTAATACTAAGTAAAAAAAAAAGAACAATATTGTACTTTAGTGGGGTACTTCATTTTGTTGTCATTTAGATCGGATGATGTTTGTTGACGGGTTCTCCATTTTAGTGGCGGCATGAATGATCGTTGTCGAAATATATATGTCGCCTATCGTCGTATACAATCATCGACTTAAATCACGTTAGTCAATAACAGAATGAAATAAGTCAAAAAACGAGAATGGACTTTTGAATACATATATTTTGTATCTGAAGCGAATGGAATAAAGCGAAGCAAATGAAATAGAATGAGGCGAATGGAATAAAGCGAAGCAAATGGAATAGAGCGAATCGAATGGACGCGTAGTGGAGATGGCGAGTAAGTCAACACCCATTCAACTAAGCATTAATCAATATTTGTAGTCAGACAAAAATAGGTTAGAGGCATGTGATGAGTAATGGGATAAGAAGTGTACACACACCTACCGCGCTCATATAAAGACAGTCAAGACTGATAAGCGAATAATTAACAAGGTCAAAATATGACTCAAGTAGAATGAACAGGTTGGTTTGTCCGAAAGCTAGAATAAAGTATATGGGCTTAACATAGTAACCGACACCACAGTACTTAATTACTTTGATAAACTTTGCATACCACAGTTAATTGTTTGTATTATAAACTATAATTTTAGTCATTTTAACGTAAAAGATATGTAATAACAACAATGAGTTTGATATAAAATAATCACAGAATGAACTTCTAGTTGCATGCTTTCAAAGTTTCATTTCGGACTTTGAATTACATCATACTTATAACAGTTAAGATGATCTGGTATTGAAATCAGCTATTACACAAGATACAAACATAAAACTTTGAAATTGTTGGTTTGGTGATATTTATGATCAAATAGTTGCAGCTTACTTATTTCTTCGATTTTTACATGTCGTCTTTCACAAATGAAGAGTAATGTGAATATGTCCTAATTTCAGTGAATATTAATTAGGAACAAATATTAAATTAATTTTACTTTATTGTATATGATTGGATGAAAATGAATATTGAAAATCGAATGTACGTATCTTGATTTCAAAGTTATTTTTAATAAGTTTTGTAAACTGAAATCATTGGCACAACTCAAAATCATTCATAATCGAGCAAATCCACTCACCCATTATTTTCTTTAAGTTTTATTTCGTCGTACTAATTGCACTATCGTAGCTTGTGCTCATTTACAACTGTGTTAGGGTTTACGTTAACGATGACTAAGTGACTGATAATAATGTCTCAAGTCAATCATAAACAAATGGCTCAATTTAATACAAATATGTAACGATCTAACTTGTAGCACATCACTGCAGTAAGCCGAAAGAAGTATAACATAGTGCTGAAACTTATAATTTTAAAAGACGATAACATTGAGACAGATTCTTTAGGATATCATATAAAGTCTTTAATTTTTAATAAAGTTTACACCGTATACTTCCTGATACACCCCGAAACCGACAGTCAGAAGTTTTCCAGTTAAGTATACTATCAACCATTATTAAATACTTCATGTTGAAATCAATAACGAAAAACTTACTTTATGCCATAAATTCACAATTTGTTTATATTGAATAATGAATTGCCTTCGACATTTAGAGTAACAGTAAACAGAAACATTCTGTTCTTCATGTTTATCTACTTGTGGCTTAGCAAGTACACGTTTTAATACATTTTCAAAATGATTGAATATTGGTCGATATATGTGGATTTGTTGATGATGTATTTTTGCGTACATGTTCAATCTAATCTTGTATTCATCAGTGGAGTGGAAAAACAATGTTTGTTTTTGTAAGACAGTTTCCTTATTTTTAGTAACGTAAGCAAGTTCAATTTCGTTATTATTCAATTTATTGGTTACTTCTAATAACCAACTAATTAAATTCGAATAGTTTTTATTTAGTTCTAAGGCAGCATCGGCAGCGATCTAAAATGAACATAGAAAAAAGGAAGAATATTTGTAAACATTATTCGGAAATGAGGGGATTAGGTCTAACGGTTAGCTAAAATAATAATAGTAGTTTGAAAGTATATTACATTACAGGTAGATAGCTAAATAACCAGAAATAAGATAACTAGTTGTTTAATTCTTAGATAGGATTCCATCAATGATGGAACACAGGATGACGCAGTCTTCGCCTCGAGATTTTAGTCTTCAGAATACTGAATTATTATCCAGTTGTCCATATTATTAAGTTCAGTCAATTCGTGATATTGCGCGACATTTATTCATTACTACAGAGTCCTGAGATAACTGAATTCTACCAGTCATGGCTTTTAAAAAGGTTTTGTGCACTTTGACATAGCTCCGAAGAGACCGTTCACAAGAGGAAGCAGTTTTCTAACAATCTCTGGCTTTCAATAGTTGTATAGACAGAGTCACTCCACCCTAAAAATTATCTTCCAATTAATCAACGATTATGAACAAACCCTTCAAGTTACTAATACAATATCGACATTCAAAGGGAAATGAAAACAAAAAGGATTTAACTCATTATAATCCAAATTGTTCAGTTATCATAACTGAACCAGCAGTTTCTAGTTAGAATTAAATCAGTAGTTAATATATTGATTGAAGCCATTTCTTGAAACAGTAAATCTCTTAAAATTACAAAATAGTTTGTCATCTGAATCTCACTACACTCTGTGTGTATTATTATTACTCAATGATATAAGTTAATATTATGTAAGTCAGTTTAATTATATTGATCACGATAATATACATCATTATTGAATTTAAGTAATAACCGTAGGGAAAGATTTCCATGTCTTCATTTATTTCTAACTATAGAAAACAACACTGGAAAACATTTTATACTACTTACTTGAAGACATTTTTCACGTAGATTGAACGCTTGTTTTAATCGTATAAAACGATGTGTAAGTTTATTGAACTCATCATTATTGTTGTGATCATTTTTTACAAGTATCTGATATAATTTTTCATGTTCTCGTAAATCTTCAGCTAAGATCTTTCATTTTGTGTTGTTGTTTTATTTGAAGAAAAATAATCAAAGTAAATCGTGATTAGAAGAAGAATATAAATGAGGAAATAAACCTTTAGAAATATTTTGTAAGGGTTTGTAATTTCCGAATGTTGATATTCACCATCGCAGCTGATCAATCTCTATTGTCACAAATGTATCCTAAGTCGATTGCCTCAATATAGTTATTTTGTTAGTATAGGGTTGTGGAGATTATTGAGTTTTTGATTGAGATCATTAACCAATTGATGGTAGACAACCATTGAAAACTTAAAAGCACTGAACGGTCGTTTCGTCCTATTGTGGGACTCCTCAGCAGTGCACGTCTACGATCCGGCTCGTGGGATTCGAACTCAGGGTCTTCGAGTCTCGCGCGCGAACGCTTAACACCTTTAGACCATTGAGCCGGTATCCAACAGTGTTAATGTGTTATTGTGTACAGCAGTACGATCCAGGATGTGTATTTGGTCCTGTTTAGGATTGGTCAGTTAAATTTACCTGCAAACCAGTGATTGCCTTTCATTTTACAGATATAAACAATATGCGAAGTAGATGTTTTCAATAGCTGAATAATAACTTCAAACTCTTTGTTAAAATTCTAGCAATGATAACTAAAAAAAAGTACGTTTTAAACAAAGTACCTTCTTTAAGATTTGTATCAGTAATGTCCAATAAGTAGTACATAAACAGTATTGACAAAGAGTAATGAACATATATTTTAAGTTTGTTTAAATTTAACATAAAACCATATTTTCAATAAATAAAAACAACTAGTATAATTATATGCATTCAGATGATATCAAAATGATATAATCCGAAAAGCAAATAATTAGTTAACTAGACAAAGAATAAATGATCTACAAATTTTCGTTTAAATAAATAGTTATTTAAAGTAGTGAACGCACTACAATCTCGATCAGTTGAGATTAGTCAGCGATAAAACCATAACAGCACGATATCCGTTTCTATTAGTATAATACAACTTTATCACTATAAAGTCCAAACAGGATAATGCACTTTACCAATGATGGATAGTGAATAGCAGTGGAATCCAGGACGCGCGTTTCGTCCTATTTGGGACTCGTCAACTGGATGTACCTGCACCACAGGGTTGATGTCCACTCTGAGACTCGAACCCAGTACCATTCGCTTCAAAACGCCATCGCTTTATCCACTTCGTTATTGAGTCCTGATAGCCACTTGCTTGTGCAATGGGATGAATTTAAATTCACTTGGTATTGTTTGGCTTTTAAAAAAAACTTAATGGGAAAATACAAGCCAAACAATACCAAGTGAATACTCTTTAGCGTCTAGTGATTTGTGCAAATTACGTTGAAACAATTGATCATAAGTGTTGTCACTTAAAAATCATCATTATATAACAAATATTTCTGTTATATTCCTAATGACCAGTGACTATATGAACCTCAAGTTTTTCGGTATTTTCATATTACATGAACTGTAACGACAATATTATTAGGAAGGAAAATAGTTGAATGATAAACGAGAAATATTTCTTGATAGATCACAACCAAATGTTGGATCAGATGAGCTTCCAGTAAAAGAAATCGGAATTTTCTTTATCACTTTCAACAGGGTGAGGATATTTTAAAAATTACTCAACCTTTAAAAAAATTCATGAAATTAAAGTAAATTACTACTGAGCATATTAAATCTTATATTGACATTCAATCCAGGTTTCATAGTTGTTTTTTTACAGAAGAGTTATCATTTGATAGTTAAATGAATCCTTTTAATTAATTCCATATTTCGATACTACTAATTACCACTTACTACTTATCAAGCTTTGCACATAATGCTTGTGAAGTAAGGCTATATCGAGGAAATCCGTACAGTATGCACATATGTCAATAAGAGACTGATCAATTACAGTCCTAAACATTGATGAGAAAATTCAAACAAACAATACTAAGTGTACTTACCAAATGATTTGAATTTAGTGATTGAACGAAAATTATATCACCCAAAACAGAAGCAATGTTTTCATACTCTTTAGGGTTGAAAGTAGTCATCGTGTACTGAGCTGGATCAGCTAAATTATCGAACAATCCTGTAACATTAGTGGATAATAAGTGACTTGAATTGTCGGCTTCACTTTGATCATTTTCTAATGGTTTAATAGAACTACTGACAGTAGTGGTACAAGTATTAGTAGTATGTTTAATGTTAAGAGTATTTTCAATGCCTAAATGTTCTTCGATCATTTGTAACCATTCATTTAAGCGAGATAGAGCGGATTTAGGATTCCGTTTTGTAATTAACATTTCACTAAGTTGAATTTGACTATGAAAGGTAAATATAAAACACAGTACATATATAGACAACAATTATTGGGATAAACAAAATAAAATGACATTTTTTCAATACGAGAATAACATAAACAAATTGCGCAAATTAGCCTTCAAAATATTCATCAATCCTTTAGTTAAGACAGAATGAATACAAAAGAGCATATCTCATTTCCGAATTATATATCGGTGACTTTCCTTCAACACAATTCATAAACCATAGGTTGTGAAAATTTTATCGCGAAGATATATTCTTTATTTATTACAAGTATTCAATTTAGAATAAAGGTATAAAAGATATGAATTTCAGGTATTAGTGACCACTAGGCTTCAAGAAGTACGCGTTTCATCTTATTCAGGAACTTATCATGGCTAAATTTATCTTCATCTTAGCGTTGATTTTCACAATAAGAGACAAATCAAATACGTGTCGCATCAAATGTCAGCCTATTATCCACTGGGTTATGGAGTCATGACAGCTACCAATATGCTGAATAAGCGAGGCATTTATTTGACCAGGATAAAATGCGTGTCCTTGAAGATTTCATCACCTGTCGGTGTCCAAAATAAAATCACTTTAAAATATGCAAACGATATTGAACCATACGTTCAATGAGAGAAAATACGAGTACAGATTGGTTAAATTCAATTCCGAACACTAACAATAGGACAAACTCTTACAATGTGCACAGGATGTTAATTTAGCTGGTTTATTATGAAAGAAATTAAGTTATTTGAAGTCTACATCTAGGATGTAGACCGACTTATATCACAATTACTACTTATTAAAATGAAAGCTTAGTATATAAATCTAAGAAAAATATTTAGTACGAATTTCTGAAAACAAGTGGAAGCATACATGTCGACAGAATGAGAATTGTCTTGAATAATCAAAGAAAAATTTAGATAAGTTAACTATATCAAATCCATCATAATGAATATCATATCAGTTAAATAGTACATATAGAGAATATATTAATTTCATATTCTGACAAAGTTTCACTATTGCTGTTGCAATCAAATGAATCGACACAAACAGATAACAATGAGTGTATAATGAATAAAGATGGCTTTCCGATAAAATCTTCAAATTATGTGTATCTGGAAAAGTACTGAGTGACAACAGTTGACCGTTTTCTGGCCGTTTTTATTTAGTGGAGTTTCAGACTAGGATGAAATAACCGTTCAATGTGTCCCAGTTTTCAACGGTCCCTTCACAAATAATTTCAGTTCATGATGACATCTAACTTCAAGCTGAACATTCTCCACCACAAACGATGATTGGTCTAAAACTGTCAAATGGATTGTTCGGTTGGATCATTTAAATCATTCAGGGGCACGAATCAAATTTAATTTAAATTTTCCTCTAGCTTATCAATTAATAGTCAGTAGAACAACACGGTTGAAACTAATAAGCTTATGAACTCAAAATGGTCAGTGGCAAGGTAAGATTTACATGCTTAAAAAATAGCACCATTGGTCAATTCATGAAATCAATCAAAAACTCAACAATCTCCACAACCCTATACTTATAGAAATAAAAAAGATTTGAAAAACTTTTACGTCCAAATACGAGACTCCATCTCGTCAGAAATAACCCATTAAAACACTAGGAAAGTCAAAATATCATGGCGGCCGCATTAAGTATATGTAAATAAATTAGTATCTAATCATTCACATTTCTTTAACAGCATTCAGTTTGTGATATTCCATTATCAATTAAGATCAATAATATTCATCTCATGCTCAAAAACTATATTGGACTTTATCAATGCTCAATTGTTTTCAATAATTATTTAGTTAGTTTTATTGATAAGAAAAAACAACAACTTCAAATACATGAATCATGGAAGTTGATTTCTATCAACTTGTAAACAGTAAAAATAAATACGATACAATGTTTGTTTGTTTTTCAAGTATACAAAGGTGTTCATTTGTTTATAAACTAAAAAACTTTTTAGGTTATTTTTTCACAGTTTATCTACATCTCGTGCATAAATATATATAAATATACATGTGTAAAAGGCTAATGCTATTTATGTAACATGCATGTATATGATATATGTATAAGATAATCTGTCACATATAAAACTTTAGAGAAAAACAAATAAATAAACAAAGAGAATTAGATGCAGTAATTAAACAAACAAAAATTCACATTCAATTAACACAAATACAAAATAAATAAATTTCAATAGTTGAGATCATGAGTCAATTGAAACTAGACCATCATGGAAAACCTGGAATTACTGAACGGCCGTTTCATCCTGTTATGGGACTCCTCGTGGATACGCACTGCTGAGGAGTCCCACAATAGGACGAAACAGCCGGTCAGTAATTCCAGGTTTTCTATGGTGGTTTAGCTTCAATTGACTCATGATCTCAGCTTTTGAAATTACTATAATATCCACAAAACCTTTTCTGAAAATAAATAAATATTCATATGATATTCACTTATACAACACAATATTCTACTGGATTGAAATTTTCTCTTACCCATATACTTGAGACATTTACTACTAATATAATGGAGTCGTATAAATATGGATTAGTTGAACTCACTGTAATAATAATAATAATAAAGATGTGAAAGGAATAAATTGAGGTTGATATAGGAATATTAACATTGAACTAGCCGTCTTGATAGTATATAAAACTTGAAGTTATAATCGGTTAAATAAGACAATTGTGAAGAGAACTCTGAAAAGTTTAAACTAATGAAATGCTTTCAAAAAAACTATATGACAAGTTAATTTCTTCTCATTGCTAAGGATTCCCATACAAGAGCGAAACGGTCTTTAAGTGCTTACAGGCTTTCAATGGTGGTCTAACATTGATCTTTACGTGTTTAAAAGACCCCAGTATTATGAATTAAATAATCCATTATTATCCTCCAATCACAAAATCATTCAATCATTTTACAACTATCTGTGTAATTCAGACATCAATCCTTTTTCATGTGAACTCATTGCGTTTTCAGATTCTCCTACATGTAATAATTCTAACTTGGAGACAGATGAGCTGATGCGTCTGTATGCATAAATATTAACCGCCTTAAGTTTAATCAAGTGTGAGGTTATTAGTATGCTTCAAATAGCTAACCAATAACCTTCAATATTCAATGCTTCTTCAACTCATGTCAGTTTGTGATAAAGAATAATTTCAAAGTGAGCATAATCTTCACGACATCGTTACATAACATTTGATTAATAATAAATACCATATATCATATCAATTATATATATATGATATAATTAAAGTGGACATTTATTCCATCTTTAATATAACTATGCACTAAAATGAATTACAATTATACTGAGTATGAAGCCGCAATAAACTTTCCTTTAATGAATCATAGTACAATTCACTAGAGATAGGCTTGTCACCTGTTCCATCATTGATCATGATGTAGTTGTGACCTTAGATGGTTTAATGTATAAAAGGCACTACGTTAATCAAAATTATAATAATGGATTGGTACTTTCTAAAGCAAAATATGTAACATATTGGGAGCCTTCGGCATTTTCTTGAAAGGGGTTTCAGACGCTTAAAGAATATTCAGTATACTTTGTTTAGTCAGGGTTCTTTAGAACCTCTCAAGAGAATTTTAGAGAACGGCCGACTTTTTCATATCTTAATTGGATACTTATCAACTTTTTAATTAGATTTGGCCGGCTTTTAAAGGCTTCTAGAATGTCAACGTCACATGTAAACACATCTAGTTTTGTCTACATTAAAAAAACCTTCGAATCAAAACTGTTTTCACCCTACTTTTTCTCTTAATTTATGCTCGAATTTTGAAAGTTAAAAACTAGGACAAAGAAAGTCATTTTTTAAATGTTCGAGTACAAAATCTATCATAAAATACGAATAGACATAATAGACGGTAATTGTTAAGTTGATTCTTACCATTTCGACAGACGTTTCCCATAATTTCCTTTGACAAGTTGAAGTTTTTCAAGCATCTCATTTAGAATATTCTTTTCTGGATCTGTACATGTACAACGTTCACGTAGATTACTACCCATTCTCATCACTAAATGATAATCCGATTGTTGTTCATGAAATTCTCTATGCTGTGAAAATATGTTAAATAAAAAGTTAGGAATGAAATTGCTAACAAATATTTTCAAGCTATTAGCTATGTGTAGTATTTAGGCATATGTATCAAGTTAAACACATAGAATATAGTTTCGGTGATACTAAGTTACATATGAAACGATGAGTTAGTATATTTTAGAACATTTTGGATTGGTGTTTAGTGGAAATCCAAACCGATTTTATCCGTATTAGAGTTTGTTGATGCTTGTTTTCTTATGCAATAAAACTATTTATATATTTGAACACATAAATATTGGTTCAAGAGTGCGCCAAATATATATGCACCACACAAAACAATGAGAATTTAAAGAGAAGGAAAAAGAAAAAAGGTAAAGAGTGTGAAAAAAGAGAGCGATGACGAAGAGGTTAGTGTAGGGTAGTGTAATAATAATGATATTAATAATGGGGGAACGGAAAGATAAAATCAGAAGAAATCTTTCAGTTAAGGAAGATACAACCACTTTTTATGAAGAAAGTAAAAGAAGGTTACAGCAGGATCGCCACTGGCTTCTATTCTGATCCATATCTGATAACATCTCTAGCCACTGTGTAGCACCATCTCTTGGACCCCAGTCAAGGAGTCGTGAAGAACTAACACAAGCCATCCCTTTTCAGCTTTTTTTTCATGCCACGACACCATAGGGTCTCACTTTCATGCATATGATCATTAAATAAACAACGATAAGTTTTATTTTCAGAAGTTGGAGTTCATCATTCACCTCTATATTATTTATTCAATTTGGAGTTGATAAAATAAATTACATTCTTTATACTAACTAGAATTTAGAAATTGAATTATATAATAATATTTTTATTATCCATTTAGTTTCGTTTCTAACAAGTTTGTTATTCATAAGGTTGATTTTTGTTGTTGTTGATATTCAATAATGAATAAGACTATTCTTTGTAGGTGTGTATGTAAACTATTCAGACTGGTATCATTTAGTATAGTAGTCATTTATGTTATTAATGAAATGAACGGGTAACAAAATAATCTTTAGTAGGATCAGATCAGTTGTAACAAATAAAGAATAAATGTATCAAACATGACATATGTTTATTTTATCTTATTCAACAGATATAATACGAAATTGAACAAATGGGATGCATCAGCTCTGAGGACAATGAGAGATTAGTTACGTTTTAGTAAATGAATGAAATTTGTTAAAGATTATGCTAAACAAATGAGATTTTTTTTCTAAATGTAATCAGATAGTATCTGTCTCAGTGAAAATTACTGTAGGATTAACAGCTTATATATCATTTTCATAACCAATAAAGAATAAGTGGACAACATTCCTGTTGAGTTATGATACTATGAAAATATAGTCTATAAAGGGAGGCCTGCTTGAGCATCTAGGCTACCTGTTCCTGCCATCTAAATATTTCAACAAGTTATCTATTTTTGTTTGTTTTAATATATCATTATGTCTATTAATCGCATAACCTATTCTGCTGCGTTTCTGAAAATTGTACAACCTTTCGTTGTCAAAGTTACAAAAACTCAATAAGAGACAATGTGGTTGCTGGCAATATACAACGAAAAGAATGCACATTATTCAGATGTTCATTTAGTGAACTGCTAACATGTAACTGGCGACCACTCAATATTTATCGCCAGGACCGACCAAGAAGAAAGAAACGGAAACTTGTTGAAATACTTTGTGCTGAGAATTCTATATTGTACCAAAAATATAATATTGAATAAAGCTGGTAATATTAATAATAATGTGTCTTAGTTAAAATTAATTCGTTTGTTATTTATAAATCATTTGAACGAAGAAATCTTAATGGTATTTACTCTTCTATTATCATCAGTCACAATCGTAATAAATGGAAATTTTTGTTACTTATTCAGATAAACAGTTCGAGATATTTTTAAATCTAAACACATATTTTAATCACAAACTTGTTCAGTTAAAATAACTGAACAAAAAAGACAATTCTCAACACTATACGGAAATATCAATAAAGCATGTCCTCATAAATTGCCACCATCATAGCAATATTACATCAATCTAAGATAGTACAGAAACGCGTTACTTTGTTGTGGCTTAGCTTCGTTAATCAATCACCTTGATAACTGTTATTATATAAATCCCAATGGTGTTTGAAATCAGGAGGCAATAAGACGCGGCGACTACAGTTTATTAGCGGATAGTACGGATCACAAAACTACAAGCACACTAAGCTAGTTTTGAGCAGAGAGGCGAATGTGTGTATAAGAGTAAATACAGAGGCAAATTTATAGTTAGACCGAATAAGGCGCAACTAGGCAAGGCAAAGGCTAATAATAAGATTCTAGTACATATATACATGGGCAAGAGAATGATTCATCGAGCGATATTTAAGTTATTAACACTTAAGCTAGATGGATATGAGCGTAGGCTGTCATGCGATCAAGAGTATACGTTTATACAGACAAGACGGTGATCATAATAGGTACAAAGAAATATGCGAATTGTTACTGTTCGAATAACATTATCTGTTAAGTAAATAAATAAGAGGGATTAACAAAATTTAACCACAATCGAAATTGATTGTAGAAGAGCTGCTATAGCTTCCGCATTCATCTTACTTAATCTGAATGAAAAATGATAGATCTATGGAAAAACAAAGATATTGTTCTATTACATGAGGGTGTGTCCTAAATTTTCTAAAAATCTAAAAATTATATTTCATTTCAATTTTTGAATAATCGTAAGACAACTAGTAAATTGATATTAAACTTACCAAAGTTTTAAGTAACAACTGACTGTTTTCATCATATACTGTACGTGTTTCAAAGGCCTCGAGTATCTCCAGTTTGGTTAAGAACCAATTTAATAAACTATAATACGCTACATCAAACTGAAAATGTTTTTAAAAACAAATGTAAAATAAAAGAGATTATGTGGAAACTTTTTCACAAATACAGTGATCAAGTAACTTCTAGTATATCGGGAAGCGATAGTTTTGAGTGGAAAGTTATCGTGCAAAATATAATCGTACAAAGGTTTAGAAAATGCATGAACATTGCTTTACAAACCATTATAAACAATATAACAATAAGCTACTGTTTTGTTTGTCATAGGTACAAATATGTTATCTTATCAGTAGATAAATACCAATTATTAAAAACTCTTGGCTTGAATCATACAGTGATTTAGACGTTTTCAAAACCGCAGTAGTGCCGTATAAAAAAACTAGAACATATATTTTACAGATAAGAAATGGCAGTCTAAAAGTATGTACCACAAAAATATTTCCTATTGCTAGTGTAAAGTAATCTCTGTATAACTGGATACTTCAGTGAACATTGCTCTATCGAAATAAAATTACTCTTTTAATATTAATAAAAATTACATAACAGTTATCACCATTGATTTTAATTCCTAGTTTTGGATTCTGATCTTAACACAACAGTGTTCTCAACAGCTTTAAAGACATAATCATGGTTAGAAAACTAGACAACACAATTTTAAATAAATTCATGACCGTAACGTGAAATGTATGGCTTATCGACCTAGAGAAAACTGTCAAGCAGTAAATTGTAAGCCTCAATCCTATTCAACAACTCTACGGTTTATACAATTACCTAGTATAGGTAATTTTAATATACGTCTATAGTCACAAGTTACTTACCTTAGTATCTTCTTTCAATGCTTGAGTAAGAATTTTTCGCCGTTCTATTGCTCGACGCATGAGACTTGTAAAATTGTGTTTCATTGTATTAATAGTAGCTACTGTTTGTGATACTTCTATAGGATGACATAGAGATTTGATTAATGGTAGAGAATTATAAAGATTAATTGCTAATCTTTCATGTGTTTTCAGTTGGTGAATAGCATTCTATAAAAATAAAGCGTTATAAAAACGATTAGTATTAGTGCTATTAGAAGTAAAATCAATTTCCAATAAACTGTAATTATATGTATCTGTAGTAATTAAAATAGATGAATAACAATATAAGAGGTGAATTACTCTGCCATAGGAACAATCAGTGTGTCAATGAGTAAACGCAACATTATGTAAATATCACTTCTTGCTTTAAATTAATTCGTGAATACTTTTAAATCCGTTTATAGTGGTCTAGCTTCAACTGACTCATGATTTCAACTATTGAAATAAATATATACTTTTTTGTTGTGATTTGAGTGGCAAATTGTATTTCTGACGTTCCTTGACTTGGTGTAGACCACTTTGTCAGAGTAAATAAATAACCAAAAGAAAATTAACATCGGTTTACATAGTTCCTATGTACTACTTCAACTTGTGTTAATTTAAGTCGGTTATTTATAAGTCACAAAATGTCAGAAATACAATTTTCTACTCATTAGGACGTTACAAAAAATTCATTATTAACTCTCTAACAAATACTCAGTTTATTTGAAACTATCAAGTCCAACTGAGGCATTGATGCCTACAAAAAACATTTATAGTGGAGTAAAGTTCATTCTTCAAGATAACTTCTTGATTGGTAAAAGTTCGATTTTCAATATCAGAGAAGACTAGAGAATTCAACCTTCAAATACCTGACAACTCAATATAGTGCATGAGATTTCGAGCCACTAAGACCAGTGAACACATATCTGTCTGACCGATAGAATTCGATCAAAATTAAAAAGGACTAAATATTGGTCACTGCTCAATTGTCAGTTAATTGGAAATATCTCATTCCAATAAAAGGTCAGTTCAAAATCAAAGAGCTCAACAATGAAGTATCATATTATGAAATTTGGCAACTAAGGTTTCGATCCCACAGAGAGCATCGTTTCCCATCTAAATCACATATTGACCTTTCTAACTAGTACTAACTATCATGAAACCTAGATACAGCGTTTCTTATTACCTACTTCCAATTACTTTACTCTAACAATGTTTAACAATATATGATATATGAAACATTCACCAGATAAACCTACAGATATTTATACATAAGCAAAAAAAATTACTAAGAAGCAACGTTAAAATAAAACTGAATTATTTATTTATTTATTTAATTTATTTAAACACATAAACATTGGTACAAGGAGGCACCAAATAGATATGCGCCACATAAGTCATTCGATTTGTGTGAGGGCTGTGATACTGCCCGGATGCCCAGACCGAAGCAGGTGGTTTTCTTAGGGGGTCACACCCCGAGCCTTTGACCTAAAAGTGTAACCCACAAGGCAGTGGAGCATCGTAAGGAGATGCAGTCCCATGGTAACCGGTGACCAACGATTGGTTCATACGCCATTTGTTCACACAGGATACTGGAGCCCATGTGCACCATTGGTTTGGAATCCGGTTGAAGCGCCGGACATTCGCTTTCCGTCCTCTCGTTTTCGTAAACAACACCCCTGCGACGAGAAGGCAGTGAGTAGGACTTCCCTGGCAGAGGCTGTATACGCGTGACCGCGTGAGAGCACTTCGAGAGGGAGGGTGAGCCCACCCCACTCTCGGCCATACCAGGGCGTTTAGGGGATAAATCGGATGTCGCTGCCAGGATGTAGTATGAAACTTGGCAACTAAGGTTTCGATCCCACAGAGAGCATCGGTTCCCATCAAAATTACATATTGACCTTTCTAACTAGTACTAACTATCATGAAACCTAGATACAGTGTTTCTTATTACCTACTTCCAATTACTTTACTCTAACAATGTTTAATAGTATATGATATATGAAACATTCACCAGATAAACCTACAGATATGTATACATAAGTAAAAATAAATCTCTATAAAGTAACGTTAAAATTATTAAAAAAAACTGAATTGTACTAAAAGTATTTAATATTACCTTTACACTATTTAATTGTTCTGTACAACATCCAACTAATTTTGATGGTCTATAAAGTTTTGATAAATTACCACGAATTTCATTCAATAATAATTGTAATTGTTTTCTATTTATTATAAAGTATTTGATAAATTTCAAATGAACTTTCCATAATTTCATTGATTCTATACTTTGTAATTGAAATTTTATATATTGTCTTAATATACGTAGAATATTTAGTTCCAGATGAGATTTAATCTTGTTATTGTTTCTTAATGATGATGATAATAATAATAATAATGAATTTTGATGATATAATTCATTGAATATATTCATATTATTGAAAATGTAATCTTCAATATTTGTGAATAAAGTTTTGTCTTGTTTAAAAATATCATTGAATATTGAATTAGGTAATTGTTTTATTAAATTATTGATACGTAATTTACTTTCATTTAGTGATTTTAAGTTCCAATCCTGTTTGTTGATAATAATAATAATGATGGAAAACGTGAAGTAAAAAGATGGGAGAAATAAAAAGGAATTATATATAAACAATGAGTTATTTAACTATAATAAAACTATATAGAGAACTAGAACAAGTGTGGAATTTTGATGAAGTTACAATATCTGAGCTAGATGGATTCTTTTTAAAGTTTTCGTTGTCGGTTTGATCAATATCGTATGCAGAAAATTCCTTGATACAAGATATGAAGTTGATGCATTGAAGTCGTTCAACATGATTAACAAACAATTAAACACAAACCTTTTGAAATTTGCCGAAGCGATAGCAATCAAACGTATAAAACCAGATCTATGTATACAAAAAGAAAGAGTAATAAATTTTTCTTTGCCCTGGTAACATTGACCCCCTCCCCTTTTATTTATTACGTCATTCACTATTGCAATTCTTTCTGAATTTTTAAAATTACATCATTCATAACTGACTGATTTCAATTCATATCTTTCTTTATTACCATGAATCTATTATCAGTTACTTCTAACGTGTTTTTTTTTAATTCCATGAGTTGTAATCACTATTTCAATGTTCTGGAACCTTCCCTCTCAAACTTTATTTATCCGAAACAAAACGATTTTTATGACCTCATAAACTCTATCGGAATCTTCGATACATCATGATACATATACTCATCCTTAATCACCCTCTTATGTATAGGTATGTCAATAACTGTAATAATTTTGAATTTTAAATATTTTAGGTTGTAAGCAACTGATGAGAACCTAATGAAATGAATTCATATTATTCTGCACCAATCTTTGTTCTTACTCTATTTAAAATAATAAAGGGAACTATGTGTAAGAAAATTTATTATTAATCTTATGTTAATGATGGAAAAACTATTATGGCTAAATGTTAAGTTATACTTGAACTTTAAGTGACTAGATTATTGACAACGTTTAAATGTTTAACAATGTAAAATTATCTTTAGTTAAAGTTCATTGTATTAATTCTACAATAATTATCCTTATGCATGTACTATACAGATTACTGGAAATATTTAAGTGGTATAGGGACTAAATGAAGCTTTTACCCCATCAGAAATTCAAACTACTACCAGTCCTAGTGTAATCATGAACATTTATGTTGTGATATGATTAACTTAGATTTTCGTCAACATAAAGGACGTTTACTGATTACCAGATAACTAGTAGTGATCATATATATAACGGACATAAGCACTGAGGTCCTAGATAGACATTTTAAGTTTAAATATACAACATCAAAATATTGCATTGAGGTGGGATGGCAAAGAAGATTTGTAGCTCAGGTAGACGATTTGGGTGAAGTTTAGTTCTCTAAGCTGATAGAAGTTTGTGCTGATGATGCTTTCTAGAAGAACAATGAAAGCTCCACGACCAAACCATCCAGCTCAGAGAACGAAACTCTACCTATTTTGAGGTGGAGTATTTGAAAATTCACAATAAATTTACAAAATTAACTGATTTGCTAAAAAATAAGAAGAGAGCCTACCTTAAATTCTTTCCATGTACTGTTCACTGTATCCAACGTTAAATTATTTGGTTTAGCAAGTTTTATTAACTTATCATTCAGTTGACTTAACCAAACAGAATAAGCAGTAATCGAAGATTGTAGTTTGTTTTCCTATAAGATAAAGAAATAAATTACTTAATGTTCATTTCATCAACTAAATACGATTTCAATGAAGTGAAAATTCTCATCTTGACATTTGGTAAAAAGAACGAATCGAACGAAGAAATTTCTTTTCAAATAGTTTCTCATCATGGCTCTACACTAATATATATATATATATATATATATATATATATATATATATATATATATATATATATATATATATATATATATGATTTAGAACAATGAAATAATACTTATCGAGTAGCCGAGTTACGTAATAACTATATCAAATAATTGGAAGAAAGAGGATTATGATAATCAAAGTAATTATTCGGAAAATCAAACGGTTGCAACGTTGCATACTATACATGAAAAGTAGGGACTAACAGAATATTTTGATAAAAGGTCAGTGTTACAGTAGTTCTGTAAGAATCAATAGACGAATGTTGAGAATATGTAGAATACAAAACCGTTCAGTGATTCCAACTGTGAAAAACATTGGAAGAAATTAGAAAGTAATCTTCATATTTTTGAAAGGGTTCAATCAAAAAACAGCGAAAAATGCACTTCTATACGGATGATCAAGGTAGAGATAATGGTTGTGAAAGTACTGTTTATTGTTATACTAGAAAATGTGGTGTGGATATTACCATCAAAAACGTAAACCTGTGCGTATAATATATATAAAACAATAACGATTATCACAACGATGATAAATGCCATCACTATAGACAACAACATACAAAGTGCAAATTTTTAACGGATCTGTAGATGTTGTGTTGATGAGGAAAAACGTCAGCATAATGATGTGTAAACACTTTTTTACAATCTTTATTCTAAACAATCACAACAAACAAGCTTACAAAATGTTTCATCGCTATGCGAATAGCTGCTTGCTAGTAGTCAAAAAAAAAATTGAAAAGCATAGAAAATGGATGAAAACTGCACGTAGGTACTTCTTCAATGTTGGCGTAGCAGTAAAATAAGATTCGGGTTTGAAGTACTGATTTACAGTAGCTTAGTCTATTTTAAAATGATTTTTATAACTGTTCGATATTGTAAAAACATTAGAAGTTACATAAAGTAAAGAATAGTACTTTTTCCTTACATTGAGGCTCTTCAGTAGTCCTGAATTTCACGACCTGAATCCTACAAATATTGTCAAATTCTGTTGTCACATGGCTAAGATTGATAATTCTAGGGTCACAAGTATGGACCTCTAAGATTAAGTTTAATTAAAATGTGATCAACTGTTATTTAACTTTTAAATTCAATTCATATACATACAACAATGAAATTCTCATCAACAGGGATTCTAAAAGATGTTCAAACATTTATGATAAGATTATACGATAACTAAATCCATTAAAACACTGAGTAATATCTCGACAGTTTTACGAAAATTTATATATATATATATATATATATATATATATATATATATATATATATATATATATATATATGTATATACAATTTCCATCCTGAATCGACAATCTCTGAAAAATTATTGAAAATTATAAAACAGTGGGGAGCTAGTTCATCTTGGTTTCACACTTAAGCAGAACTTAAAATCATCAGGTCACGCGATGAGTACGATACCGTTGAGCCGTCAATAAGTTGAAATATGAAAGTTAACATTTCGAACATCAATCACATTTTAGGATGGGTCCCTATGTTCACCCTCTGCTATCAACGGTGTTATTAAATCATTTACCACTTGGTTTAACTCACGTCACAGTTTCTCCGAAGGAGCTAGAAGCAGATTGCTGTGGTTTATAGAAAATATTTGTGCGAATGTTGTATAATATGTCAACGGTTTACAAACCACCGGATTTATTCAAATGACATCAAATTTTTGACAATCTATCAATAAATACTAACGTCCTAAATTAGTGTAATATCAATCCTACGATTTTTGACATTTATTATAATTTAGTTATTCAAAATATCAACACATACATGTGGTGGAGAATATTTGTAGCTCAGGTGGATGATTTTGATTGAGTTTTGTTCTCTGAGTTGGATGGTTTGATCGTAGAGCTTTCAGGTAAAAGTTTGTGTTGATGATGCTATTTAGAAGAACAATGAAAGCTCCACGACCAAACCATCCAGTTCAGAGAACAAAACTCCATCAAAAACACATACATATCTATCTGACTAACTAAGATCAAAATGTGAGAAAAGATAAGAAGCACTCCGTAAAATACTTTTGCCTCCTACTCTGTAATCATGATCTATTGACTTTTCAGATATATAAAATAATCATATCAAACTCGATAATTCAAAGACTAACATTATTCAAGGGACAACCTTGAAATTATCTGTACCGTCTTAAGAAATATTTTGAACCTCTAGATGATGCGAATTTCCGAATAGAATGGAAAATTACTTGTATAACACACTACAACAGATCACGTCGGGCTCACCAATTATGTGGTGGTCGGTATTCGATATAATCCTTAAACTTCGTATACAGTTCGTCTTGATAATCATCCTATATTACGCCCCACACATTTATTCACTATGGTAGTCTTACTACTAGCCACTTATTTGATTCGATGACTCGTTCATTTCACTATGTATTTGTCCATGTTATTCATATTCATTGCTCTCTCTCTTGCTCTCACTCTTGTTCACTTACTTGTACGCGCTTGCTCATATTCATATTCGCTGACTGCTCGCTCGCTTGCTTGCTTGCCTTTCAGCACAACTCTTCTATGCCTGTTTAACGCATCTGTAATTTTAGACATGTGTGTATGGTCCCGTAATAAGCGTAATCAACGCTTTGTATTCGCCTTCTGATTAACATACCGTTGGGGCGTTATATAGGACGGTTATCAAGACGAACTGTATACGAAATTTAAGGATTATATCGAATACCGACCACCACAACACTCATTGTTCTCCAATATTTATTTGAACGGATTTGAACTTTCTAATAACCTTGAAAAATATTACTAAGTTGTCAAAAAAATATTTAATGTTTGACTGGACAACTAAATAAACCATCATGAATAATAAAGAATGGATTGCCTAATTCAATAATTGGATATTAAAATTAATTTTCAGAAAACTCACCTGATTTATTTTATTGGTCAGTTCAGTTTTCTTTTTTGTTAAATGGTAAGATTGTTGTTCAATTTTCAGTTTCAATTGTTTTACATCATTCTCGATCTTCATTTTGTCAGTATTATCATTATTATTATTATCATTATTATTATTATTATTATTATTATTATTATTATTATTATTATTATTATTATTATTATTATTATTAGCAGTAACAGTATCGAAGCAATGATCATTTGAAATAGTTTTAAGTAGAGTTTGTATAGATTTTAATTCATTATGCCACATCTGAAATGAAAATAATAACAAGAATCTTAGGACCTTGAATATTGTTCGACTGTTTTGAGATTACAATTAAATGGTATTTGTTAACTATATAACATTGAAATTATTTAAAACATGATATGTATACCACGTAATATAACACATCGATTACAAATCTATGCACTCGATTTTAAGTGATACACATTTTATGTGAGGAATATACATATTAACCGACTGTCTAAACCGAAGCATATGAAAAGCGGTTCCAATATATAATTCAATAACTAAAACTCGTATCATTTGAGTATAAAACCATTGTAACAAAAGCGTCTCTGTATATAGTAATTAATAACATTATGTTTTCATATTTTGACTGTTTTGAAGGTATTTGACTGATTTTGCTTTCTGGAATCAGGTTCCCTATTCCGTGTACTGGTTTTTAGTTTATTTGTTCAAACTGATTTATTATCTCATTTAAAGTCATAAGTGAAAAGCATGGATAAACTAGTTAGTAGAGATTTGATTTTTATTAATGAAACTGAAGCATATGCACTGCAGTATAAGTGACATTGCAATATATTAACGTTCATAGTGTTGAAATTAAACAACATATTGTTTAATAGAGAACGATACTATAAATGGTTTGGAGTATTTGACATATTCTGAATTATACTCCTCACTAAAAATGCACTATATAACCTTACTCCACTATCTATTCAATTACTTTTTTGTGAGAAGTATTCAAACAATACATTTTGTAACAATAATTTTATCAATAACAAACACCAATATATTCTTTTATGATAGAAATAATTTTGTTGAGACCATGGATCGATCGGCCCACCATTGAAAACCTGGAAGTATTGAACGGTTTTTTCTTCCTCAGTAGTGTGCAACCACGATCCCTCGCGCGAGAACGCTTAACCACTGAGCCGGTATACAATGGTGTTGATGTCTAACTTCAACCTATCCACGAAATTGAGCGACCATCTTCGATTGTCTTCGGTGGGTGACTGTCTCATAACCTGCATGGATTAGCTCCACTGCTCACGGTGCGAATCCCTCGTGTTGGTTCGTGAATGAGCACTGATTAGGAGTCCCATACTAGAAAGAAACGGCCGTTTAGTGCTTTTAGGTTTTAAATGGTGGTCTAATATTGATCGATTCATGATCACAATCAAAACTCCACAACCCTGTACTAAAAATAATTTTATTTTAAACAATTTAATTCTATCATAAGAATATTCATTTAAAACAAATTTCATCATACCTCTAGAATTTTTACTTTCGTCCAGTTATTTAAATATACGTTTTTTACAAGGGATAAATTGTTTTCTGTACAATGAACAGGAAATTCTTCTTCGTCTATCATACAATCTTTTACAAATCTCTCATCTAAACAACTGAATTCATCTAGCAAATTTGACAATTCATTTAGAACTGTTGAAATCTGATTTGTTTCAATGAGTCGATTTCTTATAGCTGACTGGAAAGTGGAAGGAAAATGCAAATAGTTAAGGTTTTACAGAAGATAATTAGTTAATTTTTGTAATGACAGGTACCGCATTCAAGCCTTGTTGTAAACTTAAACACTCGAAGCCAGATAAATCCAATTATGAGTGTCAAATAAGACATAACGCTCACTATATTAGCTGCAACACAACATTAATAAAAGTGTTTAACTAAGTGCCAATATTGTGGAAATACGCTGATGATGCACGTATACAAACACAGACTGATCATTCGGAGTTCTTTACATCAACAATCATAATATGCAAAGCCTTATAAATAGCTTACGTATTTAAATTCACTTGGTAATGTTTGCTTGAATCTGCCCATTGATGGTTAGGACTGCATTTAAACAGTTTCTTATTGGTATATATGCATACTGTGCGGATTGCCTCAATATCGCCTTCAGTCACAAACACTATAAGCTGAGATGATGATGGCTAGCAGTGGAATCCAGTTCGACGCACGTTTCGTCCTATTTGGGACTCGTCAGTTGGATGTACCTGCTTACGCGTTTGTTTAGAGTAAAATTATGCCTAAACATATAGCAATTTAATAAAAAGACTAAACAGATAGGGGCTGTACTATTGTAAGATCATATCGTAATTCTAAACCGAGTCATTTCCAATCTAGATCAATCAGTATAGTAATATTTTACAGTGCAATGATGATCATAAAACGGGGATTAATAAACATATAAATGTTTTCATACTCTCCCCTTGAGCCAGATATACTGAAGTAAAGCGGGTTTCAGACTTGTAACCTGTTTGTTATCACTACCACTGAAAAAAAGTGAATTAGAAATATATCAGGTTGAGTTGATTCGTAACACATCTCGAGTAACACTTAATTGATCAAAATGGAAAGTAATCTCTGACTGGTGAAAAGCAAAATGTATAAAATATCTACTTCCGAAATTTTCAGTAGATTATCTAAAAATAATTTCTTTTAATAATAATGCATACCGTAACTAGGAACTCTCACTCTTTCGTTAACGATCGTTTTATATGTATAACGACACACGCGTTTTGGTATTTCACGTGTTATGAGTACAAAAGATGAATACTAACTTAACATCAATGTATACAACTAACTTACTAGATAAACAGATGATTCTGTAAGAAAGTTATTAAAATCATTTATAATTGTCATTATTTTCTGTTCAGTGTAATGAATGATTGATCTATTTAATGAAGTTTCATGTTTACATTTATTGAAACAGGCGAAAAATGTTTGTTCAATACGATCGATTTCATTGTCTGATGTATAGTCTTCACTTAAATGGAATATTACATCTTTGAATTCATTGACGTCATTGAGGATGCACTGAAACATTGGTAGCTGAGAGAAAAGTTCAAGTCTATACAGCTAAATTGAAGAAAGAAAAAAAACTCATGAAATCCCATATAATTTTAATAGGCTTGATTTCAGTTGCAGACTAGGAATACAACAAATTTCGTTAGGAAAGCGTAATCTATTTCATTGCAACAACTTATGAGAGTAAGATACTATGCGATAATTTCACAACTCTAGCAGTAACAGCTTGTAAAAGCTACCCGTTTGACCTATAAAAAAACAGATTGATGTTGTCTATAACTCACTAAATGCGTTGTATCCGGAAGTTGCTGTTATTTTCCCGTTTATTAATGAGTACTACATGTTAGAGTACCATTTTCATTGACTTGATTTCAATTCATATATATATATATATATATATATATATATATATATATATATATATATATATATATATATATACATCAGAAGGTTGTGCTTTCGTTCTTCGAAATAAACTAACATGAACGTACGATAGAAAGTGTAAACACTAAATGCAAAACAATAACAACATTTAAGCAAACAGCTGAGATTATTTGTAAGGAATGTTTAAGCAAAGATCCTTGAAACAACCTTGCCGAATAAGTAGACATCATCAGGTTCAAAGCAGAAATGGATGGTGGCTAGCAATGAGATCCAGGACGTGCGTTCCGTCCTATTTCGGGACTCGTCGGATGTTTACTCTGGGACTCCAACACAATATCGTTTGCTTCAAACGCCATCGCGTTTTCCACCTGGCTGTTGAGTCCTGATAGCCACTAGCTTGTGCAATGTGGTGAAGTTTAATTCACTTTGTATTGGTTGTTTGGATCTTCCCATTGATATTTAGGACTGCAATTGATCAGCCTCCTATTGGTATATGTGCATCCTGTGCGGATTGCCTAGATATTACTTTATGTCACAAGCATTATAAGCAGAGATGGAGTGAATATCAACTCTGGAATGCAGGTACATCCAACTGACGAGTCCCAAATGGGACGAAACGCGCGTCAAACTGGGTTCAACTGCTAGCCTTCATCATCTCAGCTTATAATGCTTGTGACTGAAAGCGATATTGAGGCGATCCGCACAGTATGCACATGTGCCAATAAGAAACTGTTCAACTGCAGTCCTAAACATCAATGGGAAGATTCAAACTACAAATACAAAAATGAAATACCAAGGTCTGTTCAGTGTGACAGAATAACTGTGCTACTAATATATATACGATAATCTTGACTTACGGTTACATCATGTAAATGTGAGCACAGATCATTATTGCCACTTAAATTAGCTGACTTAACACTTAAGTGTTGAAATTTCACTTTCAATTTGGTCATTCTAGGATGTATTACCTGGAAACAAAAGAAAAAACAAGATGAAAGCACATAAACATTTCTATGTGACAATTGTAAGTATACAAGTAAACATTTTACACTTCTATATTTGATGCGGAGGAACAAATTGAAATCCCCAAAGGCAAGTTAGGCTATTGTTAGTGAATGATACACAAAAATACTACAAAAGTAAGAATGTTTTAAACAACTATTAAATTACGTTTATGTCGTACTAAGTTTTTTCTTTACGCGCGGGGTCATGATAAAAAAACTCTTATTATCGTCTAATGTTTCTTTCTAAAATTTTAAGAAACTTCGTAAAAGCGCCCCACCAATCTATTTAGTTATGATCAACGTAGGAAGTAAGGACATATATCCATCTACTCAAGGAGATACGTCATATCAGGATATCGAGAAAAGATTAAAAAGATGAATATGGAAGGAGTCAAAGTAATGCCTATTTTAATGATGATAAAAAAGGACTGCATATGAGAAATAGGGCTCAAAATGAAGGAATAAATCTTCAGAATGAATTATTATAAAGAAGACTCCAACCCCATGGTCTGTATCAACAAAGAGGGTTTAGTCTAACGGTCAATGAATTCATGGGCTAATGTCATTTTTTTCACTAAGAGAGAGCTTCATCCCAATCCAATCTAAAGCCATCCAGTATTATGTGTAAAGGTAGGCAATGGTTAAGATGCGAATACGTGATGTTGATCAAGAAAAACTCGGAATTCTTTTTATAATTCTTCGATTAATTAAAAGATTAAACACAAACTTAGTGGTATAACAAACAATCTGAATTCTATTAATAATTATTCATGATTGTTCGGTTAAAAAGGTATTCAACCCAATGAATAAACACAAGCACCAATTAAATAATTCATCTTTACTTGATCTTATCAAATGAAAACAGGTTTCTTTTCATTTTTTGTAGGAAACATAAAATTTCACAATCCAACTTACTGATAACCATATAGCAAGACGTTGTGATAATTCATAACTAAATAATAGTTGTTCACGTTGATTTTTTATATGTTCCAGAAAATTGATCACTTCATCATTTACCTTAGTTTGTTCATACCATAAAGGAATATTAAAATATGTTAGAGATATGTTATTTTGTTCAGAATTTAATGAATCTACCAATTGGTTATTTTCGATATGCGTAATTTCAAATGGAAATATGTCATTTTCGTCATCAAAGTTAAAATTCTGTAGTAAATAACGACCTGGATTAGTAGAATTTGTTTCATCAGTTAATTCTTGAAGCTTGTCAATTACTTGCTAATAAAGAGTAGTTGAGAAAAAAACAAATAGACAAAAGAAGCGACAGTTAATTACGTTATTCAGAAATTCGAAATAAGATTATAACACTAGATTGTATTAAAGACGATGAATATCACTAAGTTTTATATAAAGAAAAACACCTTGGGGTTAAATTACATCAGAGATTAAGAAAGAATATTTCTGAACTTAGATTTTCAGGACAGAATAAAACACACCATGGGTCAGTCAAAGCTTCTTTTGAATGTAATTAGATGTAGAGTCGTGGTACTGAAAAATGACATCATATGAAGTTGTTATTGAAAATTTAAACAACAATAGTGTTTGCTCTAACTGAATAAACATGTTAACAATAGCGATCGCCGATATATATGTATTCAAGGAATAAATAATACTCTATTCTCACTTCACCATGGAACAATTTGACAGATCTTATTAGTATTGAACATAACCTTATTCAATACAATTCTCTAATAAACGCTCGAGCTTTTTCAGAATACAGATACATTCGAAAAGAATCACACGAAAATCTGTATTAAAGTACACTGATTTCATTTCAGAAAATCTTAGAAAGAGTAAAACCATTAAAATAAGAAAGATATCAAAATGAACAAATCCATGAAATTTTGATAGTCGCTAGACTGATATCGATTAAGTAATCCAATATAAGTAGTACTTTTGAAAGATTTTTATCATAAATCATGAATTTCAATAACTATAATACCAATTCAAAACTTTCTGTTTGCTGGAATGATAATGGTTCTTTTTTTGAATATTTGACGGAATATCAGCACATTCTTCAGTTACAGTAACAAACTTTTATTAAAGTCAAAATCAGTAAGAGGCCGGATAAACAGTTTCAACAAAACAAGTACGTCTATAAATATAAGTAAACTAATAAAAGAATTATTTTGACTGGAATAAGGTTTTTGGATGAAGTCTGATACAACGCTGTAGGTTCAGTTGATTTAGAGAAAGCTAATGTACTACTCGTCCTATTAATTGAATAATTCAGTTATCAAAATTCACTTGGTTTCCTAGGCAAAACTACCATGAACTTCAAAAGAGAAGACAATGAAAACTCTAATTAAGAGCATAAAACACTTTGAAAAATATCAAATTTATTTGTTGAAATCTTAAAACCATATCAATAGGCTTAAGTAAAGAGAATACTTAATTAACTTTTCATAACCACGTTTCCTAATTATGAAATTGAGATAGACTAAACTATTTTTTTAAAAGCATTGAAATTTATAGATGCCCAATGTGAAAGCAACATTTTTATTAATATTATGTCCCGATAAGCATAATGAATGGTAACTTTCGGGATCCATTTATGGACCAATACTATGCGTGCATTTTTATTGTATAATTGTTAAATAACTAAACTATTCATATTCATGTCCCTCTTATCATGAGGTTTATTTTGACCTATGAACTATTTGAGATGGTGGAGAAGATTTGTAGCTCAGGTGGATGATTTTGGTGGAGTTTTGTTCTCTGAGCTGGATGGTTTGGTCGTGGAGCTTTCATCGTTCTTTTGAACGACATCATCAGCACAAACTTCAAATAGGAACGAAAATCAAACCAATGGGAGACACAACCAAAACAAAGAAGTAAACAATGATAAATTTAAGGTCAACAAGAACCAATCAACATCGAGGTGCACAGAACAAGCTGTGAAACACATATGGAGAAATTCGAACACTTCACTTCTATTTAAAGTTTGTGCTGATGATGTCGTTCAGAAGAACAATGAAAGCTCCACGACCAAACCATCCAGCTCAGAGAACAAAACTCCACCAAAACTATGAACTATTATTCTACAATTTACCATTCTTGAATTATGCCCTGTATATTAATTACTATCTCCCTCATTCACAGCCACATTTGGCTAAATCTTGTACAAATGTTATTTTTCATTTTATGATACGATGTGGTCTCTCTGGTTTGTATATAAACCCAGTATGCTTGAAATAAATGATTCATATCGCAGAGGCTGAGATTGGTGTTCTGAACTTAACTGGCTGGGCTGAGCAAGAAGTACGACCGATAAGTACTCTAGACTGCTCGCACGGGTTTTAGGCGTCATTGATTCGATCGATGATTCACTGCTCTCGAATTAACAGTATCATTATGTATACATTAACAGGGCATACATGCCATAAGTTATAACAATTAACGAAATAAATAACAGTAATATTACACAAATAAATGCACTATTTTTGCATTGATACCATTCAAGGTAAATAAATTTGTGATTACATTTTTACTTATAATATATTGAAATGACAATTCAAACTTACATTTGTTTCAGATAATCGTTTTTTAATTAAATCACCATATGTTTCAAATATATTCGTTACCAATTCAGCCTCGTTTTGAAAGATTACGGTATGTTGAAATAAATCACTTGATTGTTTAAATGTAGACTAAATCGAAAAAGTAAATTAAGAAAATTACATTTAATAATAATAACCACCATGTTTATAGATGATACACAAACAAATATAAGTAAGCATCAAATTACACAACAATAATGAAAAAAAGAGGTAATGATAATTAATAGAAATGATATCGATTTTTATAGAAAATATATAAAGATATAAACATAGAAAGAATATGACCTATAGAAAAGTGTAAAAAACCCACACTAAGTTCGTAAGCTAGCACTAAGTAACATTATGTCAGTTCATTTAAGGAAATGAATTTTCTTGAGATGTTCAAACACACCTCAATTTTACAAAAAATCGAATTCTAACGATTATGTTACACTAAGAAAGACCTGATACATGAAACTGACCACTATTCAGTGAGTATGCCTCAGTCTTGTATGAGGTTAGTCGTGATCCGAATAGTTCAATAGTAATGTCTCTGATTGCGAAGCTACGTAACATGATGTCGTCTCTGACAGGGAGTATCAGTTCCCTCTAGACTACAGATACACCTTACTGATGTGTGCCAAATACTACGAAACTTATGTTCACGGTTTCCTGTCGAATACCTTCAACCAATACTTCACATTTCGCTACCGATGTTAAATTTATCTCCAATTCCGATTAATCTCAACTTGCGAGAAATATTTTCCTAAATAAAGACTAATATCTACTAAGTCTTTTATTGCAACCAAAAGTTGGGAAAAATTTCATATTGTAAAGGAGTATTTTAAACCAGGTATGCAAAATAAAGAAAAACGGAACACAAATAAAAAAATTCAAGAGACTGTACATTTCAAACTTATTCCGAACTTACTTTTATAGCATTCAACTTCGCTTGAGCATATTCTATTTGTTGACTGCTCATTCGCACTAGTTCAATTTCCTTAATTGTTTGATTTAATTTGTCAATTACATCAGACCGTAATTCGCTCACTTGACTCATTCTATTCTTTACCAGGTCATCATTCATTATATTACAACAGGATAATTTAAGATTATCTAAAAAAATAAAATCAATTTGCATACTAAACAGAATATAACCATTGAGACACAAAATACAGAAAAACTGGTTCAACAAAGAGTTCTCTTTTTAGTGAATTCATTTTCAATATTGTATAACTGCAAGTGTATACTTGAAAAGCAAGACCCAACATATTGAGATAAAACGTTGAAATCGAGATAAACTATAATCAGTAAGATCATGGAAACAGAAAAAAATCAGCTGTGGGTAAAAGGTCTATAGAAAAAAAAGAAGAGAACAAGATGACTCTGAAAGTGAGGAAGAAATTATGAGTAAGACCATGGTAGAATAAGAGGTTGTACAAATTTATTTCGTACAGATAATTCTGACCTATTTAGATGTATAGCAAGTGCTTTAGGAATGTTAAAAAGACAGAGGCTAACTGTTTTTTGACAGCTTTCTACTTATCTTGTAGATGAATTCGAACACTGAGTGTGTTTTGTTTAAATCGTCTGTTTCCACAAAGTGTTTGATTATTGGACTTCTCTTTTCACCCACCTCGAATAATGTTATTAAATAACTTTGGAAGATCCTAAATACCTGGCTCCATACGAACTAGTAAATTAGAAATTGCATATAGAATTGTTCAAATGAGATAGTTTATCCCATAGACTGCCAGTGAAAAATGGCCGGTTGGGAAACACTAATTCCAAAATTGTGGTGAAGAACGTTTTCTTGAGAGAGTCGGTAATTCTCCTCTTCAGGATGTCTGTGGTCATATCACCTTCGAAATGGACGTTCCTAAGAGTTTCCCATCTTCAGCGACTATTTGGGCTTTAGGAGATTCGAGTTTTATGTTCTTCCCAATAAATACTGATGGATGCCCGTTTTCGAAAAGCATTTCTAAGGAAGTACAGTTAGATATAGATGACCTCATTACTACAAATTCTTCGTATCCGGGTAGCGAGGGATATAATTAAGTTTCGCTTTCGACTAATGAGGACCCAGATGTAAAAGCTTGATAGCTAACCGTTCCACAAGAGTTTCTTGTAAACAGATCTACTTGGAGTTCCCTCTGTCTACAGAAAGCCCTTGTAAAATGGTCACTCTGAACAAATCCTTCAATTTATACACGCAACACTAAATTATATAAAAAAATCAAACACCAGAACATTCCTACTGAAAATACATTTAAGTAATATAATATAGATATCTCAAAATATATCCGAATCAGTATTTATAATGGAAGAACAATCACATCAACAAAAACTCAGTTCTTCACAAACTCCATACAATATCTATAACATAATAAACAGCGAAAAACTTGAGTACGAAAATATCCACCTTTCCAAAGATACTGCATCCTATGTTTTGGCTGCTAACAAATAATGTAACAAACATGAGTTGATTCACTACATTTATGATAAAACGGCGAAAACAATTTCGACATTTCATATTTACGATAACTCATATTTCGATCAAATTAGTAGAACATATTCAACCTCTAAAATATCTAAATTCGACAACTGTTGAGTATTTTAGTTTATTGTTTTATCTTGCTTTAGCTACTGAGAAACTCTCTCATCTATTTTCAGAGAACAGTGAACATTCAATGAGATACCAACCTTGCAATCTTTATACGAGTATTTCAATGATCGCTCATAGATCAACATTTACACTTGTCATTATTTGTTGTTCATAGTACGTGAATACGTAAGTTTAACAGACATTAGCAAAACACAAAATTCATTTTATACTGATTTAATGAATTCATATTCTTTTTATCAATAGTATTGATATTATCCATCATTTAAAGAAAAATTAAAGCGCACTGTATGAATTAACTCACTTTCTAAACTATCTATTTTTTTTAAGATATTGTTCAGAATTACTACTTCTGTATTACGTCTTTCATTTGAATCACAACTGTGAATCATTGTTTGAGATAAATTATTGACTAGTAATGTTTGTCCATTCATCAATTGATTCTCATCATTCAAATGGGAATGATCACGAACAACTGACCAAGAATTTGTCAAAGATTCATTTAATAATTCTTCATATTGTTTGTCGAATACATTAAAATGGTGTTGATAATTATTAACTGATGGTATAAAAGCGTCCTATAATTAGTAGGGAAGTAAGAACGTATATATATAACTTAAAAGTCTTTTTTTATATGCTTTGCCACTAACTGTCATAAGTTAAGTACTGTAAGCAAGCCACATTTGTTACAGAACAAAAAGTAGTAACTGTAACCACCATCCGAAAAAGGAAGTAAGTAGTAATCGAGCCACTTTATGGGATCCTTTCAGGACTTAATCCAGTTCTACTCAATGCTAATGATCTATCGGGTCGTAGATCACCAACGTAGATGATCTACGTCGAAATGATTGGAGGCCTACTCGAGTTAGACGTGAATGGTGTGACAAACTAGCTAACATCGAAGTCACACCTCGTGGTCAGCGCCTTACGTGGACTACCCCATTGACGTATCAAGGTACCATAGATGCTTTGAAGACTGTACAACACAGGGGACGTTATTACAGAAATATATTAGTTAAAGTAGATACAAGCGAAAGTAAGACCACTGCCGCATAGGCCAGTCCATGGCATACGATTAACTGATGCGCGTTGGTTGTCTCTGACCTTGACGAGGATCGATGAGTTGCTCGATATTCAATGACCCAACTGCCGGATGATTTGGCTAGGGCTTAGTGACATTTCACTGGCCCTACAGGGTATTTCAAAGTCATCTGTCCTGATATTTATGGATAGATTGAAATATGAACTAGATAAAATGACTATAAGATAAAGTTATAGGTTGGTTTGGTTGCCCTTATTGAGTTCATAAATCAATCATAATTAGAAACGAACATTGGCAGACATTATGTCATAGAAAAAGATCATAACGGCGATTATTCGTATAATTAAATAATAAATATGATACCCTTAAATATTGTCAAAGATTATCGGAATTCATAGCTTATTCTAACACATAGGACAAGAACTAAGGCAAACTGCACAGTATAAGCTCCTAATTTATTATTATTTATTTATTTGAGCACAGAAATATTGGTACAGGAGGGAACCAAATATATAAGCTCCTAAAGCCTTACAAGATCTAGTAGATGCATACATGTAATCCAAGCCTAACATTCTAGGAAAGTTGATATCAGTGTTGTCAAATCCTACCGTATGTGCGTAGATTTCATGAAAAAGGATATCGATATAGCAAATGAATTTACTTAGTCAGTATAATTGTCGTTTATCACTTAAAATAAACCAACCTATGCACAATAATAGGTCAGTTTCAAAAACTAAGCAGGGTAGAATAATTTAACTTGAAATTCATAATCTATGGTCATTGGAAAGGATGTCAATAACCTTAATATAACTAACCTGAAACAATTCCGAATCCTGTATATCTAATGTATCCAGTGTATTCTCACTTACAGATAATTCTTGAGGCATTGACTTTTGTCTTGTACTTGTATGAATAATCAACTGATCATATTCAGAGATTATCTTTTGAATTTCTGAAATAAAATACACAAATCTTTGTGATGTTGATTCAATAGGATCCAGTAGTTTTGACAAATAAGTACCGGCTGTTATTGCGTTGACTGGTATTGTTGTTGCTGACGTCGTCTTTGGATAATCTTGACTGTTCTCAGTGGATTTTATCACTTCATTAATTGAAATTTGAATTTGTTTGACCATATTTACAAGTTCATCAATAAAAGTTCGATGGTTATTTTGAACATTTTCCAATAGTTCCTATTCATATTGAGACAAAAACCAATAAATAAAGTGGAAAAGGTTGTAGAACTATTGGTGAAAACAAATAATTTATTTCTAAACATGAAATCCATTGCTAAGAAGGAAGATTTATAGCTTAGAAAAAACAAGCTCACCAAGAAGCCTTCTGAATAGTTCTATGCTTTATTATATGTATTTTTTAATTGTTCAATAGACATTAAGCCTGGTACAATTGAACAATCAGTATGCGCTACACAGTTATAATACATGTGTGGGCGGCGACACTACCCGAGCACCCAAACCAAAACAGGAGGTTTCCTTAATCGGATATACCCAAGCCTTTAACCCAGAGGCCTAATTCACAAGGCAACGAAATAGCATTAAGAAGTGCTGTCTCGTGATAACCGAGAACCAAAAATAGATTTTGAAGTTACTTGTTCCATCAGGACCGTAGAGCCCATACACATCGTTGGTTTTGAATTTAACTTATTCAGGTAGACTACTCGTATTCACCAACCTGATATAAGTGTCAGACGTTCATTATTTGTCTTTACGCTTCATAAATAAGAACTACTTTGTAAAGGTAATAAGTAGAAGACAAAATTGCTTGGAGATAGTGGGTAACTAAAGTGTCAATGGGGCCCAGATGAACTATCTCTTAAAGTATTCTGCCCATTAGTTCGATCTCCTGGATTGATAGTGAATAGCAGTCCCGTATTGTCCTTAGACTGTTACACTAACAGCCGGATCTTTAATATCCATTTCCTTGACAATCTGAACAGATGTACCTTTTACCTACCGCTACTGCCTTTTCCATCTCTTCTGCTGTCACTAACAATCACTGCTCATCATCAATAGTTAAGCTTTTTATCAGCCTGTGTTTAGACTGCCTATGCTCCTCGTGTCCGGAACCAGATGGCATGAATTTCCGAGCATCTATCAGTTCTGTAAACGCCACTGAAATCCACTAATTTTTCCTAACTTTTTGGTTAAAGTTAGCAGTAAATATCACTATTTTTTCCACAGTTTTTTGGATATCATGCCAAGCTATTTCGGGGTAGGTATTCTTTTTCCGGTTAACTAGCACCTTTAGTTGTTCCTGAACTATATTCTCAACTTTTCCATCGTTCATCTGAACTCCAATAGGTTTTCTTACTGTTCAGTAAGGTGCAGACAAGTACGTGCTCGAACTAGAGCATGATCCGAGTCTAAGCATATGCTCTAGAATGAGCAACGGTCTTCAATCCGACCCCATCAAAAATGACTAAAGGCAATGCGATCTGAAGGCCATTTAAAAAAAGGACAAATAAACATAAAATAATTGTAAATATAGTAAAGAAAAAATTAATGTGATATCAAAAGAATAAGGATTTGTCATGCTTCGTTTATTTTTACTCTACTCTCCTTTTCAAAATTACACTTCACTCTCCAATCATCGGAACACTTATGACGTAATTTTATCATTTTAATAAATCTAATTTCAGCGTCAACTTTTCCAAGACACTGACCTTTTTCCTATTATTGACATTGATTCGGACCTATATTATTCTTATCGTAATTAGTAGGTCAGTGATCACAATATAAGTTTGTACTTTTTACTTATGTTTATTTATGTAATCTATTCCACTGTTATCAGTGACTCATAAACTGGCTTTATTGGTCTAATAATTGAGTATATGCATATAAATATCACAGTGCCTGATGAGGATCTAATTAAGAAAAATAGTATTGTTCGCTTATAGATGTTGTTCTAATTTACAATAAGGGAATTTGTAATATATTATTTCAAAGTAACCACAATGATTACCGCTTAACATTTTATTTTGATTGGGCATACTAACGTGCGTGCACTTAATGTATTGATATGAGATGAATGTTTAAATATTGTTGAGAATAGCACTGAAATACAAAAGTATAGGAAGTGTATTTATGTTTATCATCTAGGTAACTGATTATCTTGTTTTTAGACTGCGTGTTCACAATGATTATATATACTAATCAGTGGTTACTAAGTAAAACTTTCGGCGTTGTCCATCAACGTACTTGAAATTTAATAGTAACTGTGTAGCTTTATACTTTTTCTGCTCCCAGTCATCAGGACTGTATTGGTTAGCGTCTATTGGCATATGGACTCATCAAATGAATGCCTCAATTTCGCCAGCATTTACAAGTTGATTATCGTTTGGATGGTAGTTATTAATGGAGTTTGAGAACCACATTAAGTCCAGTCTCTAACTCACGGGTTGGATGTATCTGTATTTCAGTAACGATGTTCAATGAGCTCTTCAGTCATAACAGCTATCTAGAGGATAATGTACTGTCAATCTAATGAATGAATACTAGGTTAGACTTTCAGTAGGAACCTAAAAACTCAGAGAACTCCAGCTAACGAATCCTAGAATAGGATGAAATGCGTGTTTTTGATCCCAAATCTAGCAGTTATTTGAAATAAAAAAATTTGGAAAACAAAATCCTAGAAGTAAAACTGAAAAAAAAACTTTTTCTAGGTAGAATTCAATCTTATTTTGTCCTAACATCGAGTATATCAAAGCCATGTGAAGTAAGTATTAACAATAAACCTTATACTATGATTTGTATTATCTTGTAACTGACCTTTTATCCTAATGACCTTTTGGCAAACAAAATTTTTTTCACATTTAATACCAGTGTAGGTAGTTTATGTTAATAAACCGATTATGATCTTTAGTTAATTTATTTATTTAGTTACTCAGTGATGATCAGTCTGATCTATTCTTATTCCACAGTTTATGACTCATTCTCTTTCATGTTGTTTAAATCCTTTGTTTAAAATCAATTGCATTTGCAAAGTACATGCACGTCTTGACATGTATGACATGAATGTCTTTAATTTCACACTGTATGGGAAAGAATTAATTCTTCCCATCTAAAATATGTGAATTTTCACAATTTTCATTTACGGTTACTCATTAAAATTGAAAATAACTTTCGTCTTTGGGTTAATACCATCCTTGATTGTAACAGAAACTATCATCTAGGTGTTAATTACGCCTAAACTACAAAGAATTGTAGTTGATTGTCAATTATAAAGAAATTGGCCAGTAAGCTAGTTTGTTTGAGTCCAGTTTATAGAACAAAATAACAAATTTAAGGAAATGTTAAACTTCACACAGACAGATGACCGACAAGTGGGATGAAAGGTATTACAATAAACATGAAAACTATACAGGAACAAATAACTTAAACTTTTATCCTCAGAGACTGCTAATATGCATATCCACTTGAATAAGGCTGTATATTGGTACAATTTTATTCATATTGTTTGGATGATGCTTCACTTAGTCAACTAATTTCCTGGAACTCATTATACTCATTGTAATCAACATAAACTTTTGAGAATTGGATGAGAATTGAATCCTGTTAAAAGTAACTGGTCGGTCGATTTATTTATTTGAACACATAAATAGTCGTATAAAGGGGCACCGAATACATATGTGCAACACAAGTCACTTGATTTGTATGTGGGATGTGACGCTATCTGGGTGCCCAGACCGAAGCAAGTGGTTTTGTAAGGAGACCACACCCGGAACCTTCGACCTAAATATCCGAACCACAGGGCAGAGGAGTAGCGTTAGGAGATGCAGTCCCGTGATCCCCTAGGTGGATTCTCCATATCCATTAACCCAGTTAAAGCGTTGGACATTCGCTTTTCATCCTCTCAATTTCGTAAAAACCCCTGCCGCGAGAAGGAAATGAGTAGGACTGCCCTAGTAGTGGCTGTATTCGCGCGGGTATGTGAGATTATTTCGAGAGGAAGAGCGGACTCTTCCTACGCTCGGCCGTACCAGGGCATTTGGGGCTAAATAATTCAAACACATTATCTGTAAACATGATGATAATGATGTCGAAACGTACACCACTAGTTCTATTAAAAACCATAAGGGTCCTGTGCAGTACAGTATAAAAATTTTCAGAGTTCAGCAAAAAGACATAGCTTTTAATTAAAATAAGCTTATTATAGGTTTCGCTAGCATCGAATTCAGGACGATGTATTTAACCTGATATCATCAGCACCGACCTATTGTAGGAGAGAATCAACTTCCGACTGAAAAGAAAATTAGGAAAAGACGTTGGAAGCGAGTAAGACATAAATTACAGAAATCACCAAACTGCATCACAAAGCAAACGCTAGCTCGAGATCCAAAGAGAAATGGAAAAGTAGTCCAAAGAACACAGTGCTCCGAGAATTGGAAGCACAGATCAAAGGGACGAATAGCAAATGTAAACAAGAGGAAATGATTGTTCAGGACAGAGTTTGATGGAGAATGCTGTCGGGTGGCCTATGCTCCTCCAGGAGAGTTAACAGGTATAAGTAAGTAAGTAACTTCTCCGGCTGTGACATGGGTTCGAATCTCACTGGAAGCACCGGTTTCTCAGGTGCTCATCGTTAAAAAGAGATACGGCTACCTGCCGGCTGCATTCAACTAGGAAACAATGTACTCCAAGAATCCTATTACATTAGACACAGCATATGAGAATTAGTATCGAAAGTATATTTCTTGATAATGAATCTCCGTTAAGAGCCTAAAAGGCCAACTAACTACAATCAGTACAAATATTTACATAAACATACCAAACACTGTTCTTTTCCAGTACATAGATTTTCTAACTTTTCATAAGTAATTAGAGCACATTCTACATTCTCATTTTGTTCATCGTCGTAATTAGTACTTTCACAATCCTCCTTATCATCCTTGTCACTAATCTTGATTGATATTGCCAGTTCTCGGAGTAATTCTACTTGATGTTGAGTAGTATTAATATAAGTCAATGCATGATCAATTGTCTGATGATATCTGTCCATAGTCGGTAAGTAGAAAACAGATAAATGTTGATAAATTTGTGTAAAATAACTAAGTAATTGTGTTAGATGTTGATTAACTTCATAGAATTTTACAATTTGATCACTGATGCCAATATTATTATCATTATTAGTAATATTAGTAGTATCAGTAGTATTAACAATAGTATCTGTGAATAAATTAAGTCGATCTTCATTCATAATGATCGGTTCAATATATTTATGCAACCAGTCAATTTCACCTTGAATAATATTGATATGATCCTGTTATTACGAAAAAAAGAATCAAAATTGAAGTAATGTAAAGATGTGAAATGAATTACCAAAAATATATAGATAGAATAGTTATATGATAATCTATTTCTTTCTGCAATAATTAAACGTCTATCGTACAAGCAATCCAATAATACAATTGTGGAAATCTAGTGCTGCCACCTTCGTAACTCTTGGTATTTATCAAATACTCCAGGTGTATCAGTAAGTTTAAATAAATCTGCACATTCAGAAACACATTTTTCAGAGCCCTTCAAGAAGACATTACCTTAAGCTGGTAAGGCAATAACATAACTAAGATATCACCTCTCTTTCTGATATGAAGTGATAAAAATACAACATTATTGGATGAATTAAACATAAACTTCGTTCAGTATGATATATATATTCCCTGAATCAATTCAGGTGAACTATATTGTACGTATGCTTCTAGAGTAATTCTATGTATCTGGTATTATTTTATGAGAAAAATAGCATAGAAATTATTCTAACGTCTTTCGTCTTCGTACTTTGCAGTGATTCCCGATTGTCAAGTAAAAGCTGTAAGACTAAACAGAGTCAACACTTATATTAAGAGATTATGCAGATATAAAAATTTCAAATAAAATCTTATGATATGTTGAAACACAGCGAACATAATTTTATCATTAACGTCATCTCGTTATCAATATCTTCCAGTAGAGTCCTAATCGCCAAAACAGATAGAAGGTTTGAACTCCATTCTGTCTTCATCACTTCAGCTGAATGGCTAGTATAACTTATCTTTAACACAAAGATTGTGGCTCAAATCAGAGTACAAAGAAAATAATTTAACATCATAATTAACAAGATAGTTGATGAAAATTGTCCAGTAAATATGATTTAAACAACTAATTGATAAAATGAAATGATAACTACTTCTAATAAATATATACTTACTGAAATGATATTTACGTGACAATGAAGAGAATTCGAGTTGGGTAAATTACCATTTGGAAATAAAAGTTCAAATGATTGTAAAGTCGGTAGACAATGAAAAGTTGATGTTAAGTTTCTAGTTATTTGTTCATATGATCTAGTGATCTTAAAAGTGGAATCAAAAGATGAAATATTATTTACAATTACAAAATGTGCATTTTAATAAAAATAAATGACAGGTCGATCAATTAGAAATGAATAGATCATATAAATATTGAATTAGTTGAAGTTAGCATTCTTTGAGATAACTGATAGTGAAACAAACAAACAATCAAACCAAAATATATAAAAAAACACCCGAATAAACGAATAGAAGGAAGTTCCAGTAAGAGTAAGTTGCCGCTGGAGTTCAACTATGTAAGCCAGGAATGAGGCGGGCACTATCCATGACAGTATAATCATGGTCGAGCTGAAACGTAAATTAAATGAAATTGAAAAGTTGACCCACTTGATACTACCTTAGTAATCTAGAGGAATTTAGTTTTACCTTTGAGAAGGATCCTGAGTGTGCATTGTTCAAGAATTCCATACGAGATAAGAATCGCTATTTAGTGCTGCCTGGTTCCTATTGATTGCCTAGCTCGGGTCAGTCTGTGGTGCAAACTATCTTTAAAAAAAAGTGAATGTTGGTAACCGGAGATAAATAAACACTAGAAAATAAATTCAACAACAGAGGTTAAGGAGTAATTGCGGTTGGGATACGATTAATATCCTCTAACTTGAAAACGAAACTTCTAGAGACAGTTAATAACGTAATTCACTAGTAGTGTGAATGGCCTAAAATTCCGGACAGTCATAATTAATTATAGGGCTTATAAAGATCTGAATCAGTCCATTCTTTCACATTATGTCCATGTATTGGAAAGGCACTAGCAATATGAAAAGTAAGTGAGTCCAAATAATAATATTAACAGTAGCAGGAAACTAAGCGTAGATAATATAGTTCAAAAGATATCACAGAGAAATAAAACGTAAGGGATAATAGTAGACTCAAGAGTGAGCAAACAATAAAAATGAATCCATCTTTTGTCGTCTGTTTAGCACATCTATTGGAAAATAACCGAAGTCCTACAGGAGATTTGTTTATTCTGGTCAGCGTTTTTTAGCACCGATGCTGACCCCATGCCCAACCCTCCTCCTTTACTCGGGCTTGATACCTGTAGTAGCCCTAGTAGAGTTATAGGTGTAGTGAGAACAACTGAAAAGGATTGTCCAGGACAGAGTTCGATGGAGAATGTTGGTGGGAGGCCTATGCTCCTTCACGAGGCGTAAGTAGTAGTAAGTATAGGAGATTTGGAAAAACGACCAAGCATTTGTTTTCCATCTTTTCAAATCCTGGTAATTGTTAACTTTCTAATTAAAATCATTTTAAAATAACCCGAAATCATCAATCAATATATCTCTTAACTTTCTACTTAATTGTACAATTATTTTAAAAGAACAGAGATATAATTTGAGCAATAAACATTTACAATTACTCAATCAATTAATTGTCCCAATTTTTTATGCTGCACTAAGGTCATTAATTAGGGTTAGTTATCATAAGAACACGCCCCAAACTGTACAATATAAGTTATAATCGTTTACTTAATTGAAATTAAATTTGATTAATATTTTGGCGTTTGAACACTACCTGTGCTTGTTCGATTGTTCAGATTTTCTAAAGTAAGTCGAAATTCATCATCATGTTTGCCACTTTGTTTGATCTAAGTACTCATGATCCAGATCAGAGAACAAAACTCCATCAAAGTCATCCACCTGAGCTACAAATCTCCACCATTTCAAAGTATCATTCCACTGTACTTAGAGTTGTTGTTAAACTTAAAGATTGATGACAGACCTTATTAATGTGTCAGTCATTCAATTAATCATAAATATGCGTTCACACCAGTCTCCATACCACATTAGACCCATAAGATAAAATTAATAAAATGAATATCAAAGAAATTGAAATAGTTTTGATAGTAAGAAAGACTAATTATTGAGAACATGTTTCGAGGAGACAAAATGAGAATATATGTATGAACGAATACCAGAGCTTAAAATCTTCAGTAAGATATAGAGTGAATCTATTTTACTATTAATGATTCTGAGCCATGTCACACAACCCCAACTACTGATCGCAGTTTTAACGCGTAACCCAAATAAGTAGTTTGAATCTACCAACATAGCCCTGATCAACAGTTAATGACTTCATAGACTGATATAACTCGAAAATTTTGACCTAATTTGAGTCATGTATTATCAGTGACGTTATTTTTTAAATATTATTTGCAATTGGTACTGCGAACTTGAAATAAGTGCGTATGATAGACAGCTGAATATAAGACATAGTACTCTCACCTAAACATTAGTTTATTCAAGCTTGAATTTATTAAACACTTTAATTAAAATATTTAATAGATAGTGCCATTTTTGTCAGTAACAATTTGATTATATCTTTACGCTATTATCGCCATGCTTCTATGATCATGTATACTTGGTCACGTGTCACAGTCTACGAACATATTCCTCCTACTAGCAAAAAATGTTAGTTACATAAATTGTTCGGTGATTCATTCGCTTGCTTATATGCATGTGCTTCTTAAATCCCATTCATTCGCTCGTTGACACTTACATCTCTATTCGTATTTGCTTAGTGATCTGCGCTGTACAGTAATAAACTGTAGTCAGAGCTTAGTATTATCTTCTGTAATGTACACATGATTGAGAGGTTATCTGATAATGATTATGAGGATGAGTGATATATGAAGCATAGGAATTATTTCGAAGAGATTCCACTATAAAACACAGAATTTTACAAACTTATACTTCCATTACAAACAGGCTTTAACTACAATAAGTAGCCAATTAAAATGTCGTTGCTTAGATGATTTGGCTCCTTGAACACAATCAATTTGTATATAAAGCTAATATTTAAGCTTAAATAATTATTAGCTTTAATCAACCGACAAAATAATTTATTCAAAGTTGAGACAGAAAAAATCAAATATAATACACATGAGTATTAAGGGCATAGTATCAAACTAAATTCAATATTACCACTAAGTTGTTAGAAAAACATTTCATATTGAGAACTAAAATGTTACTTAACATAATATCTATATATAGTCAGCAAAATTTAGTCTACTATGTTGTTCACCATTTGATAAAAAGTTCACAATTACTAAGATTGTGCTTTGTAATTGTATTAAGACTTATGTATGATATTAATTTATTATCATGTTTTCATGTGCTGCGTGTATTGATCCTCTCATATGTAATAATACTAAGAATTTTAGGAAAGATACCAAGTTCCATGTACATTTGATGTGGATAGGTAATTGCTTTGTTCTAATATTTTATGTTTTACGGGGACTGCCAGTTAAAAAAATGGAATCATCAGTCAAAGCAAGTGGACTATGAACTCAGTGCTTCTACAAAATCTATGTGTCAAGAGAAATTAGCTTAATCAGAATGTTAAATAAAGATAGGTAGGTCGTTTTCTGTACAAATAATATACAGGTTCAAGTAAGCCTACTTTACATCTACATAACATTGGATAGATTAATCAACAAAAGAGGGGAAATAAAGTATCAGACAAGGAACTACAAGTTATAAAATCATGGAAATAAACGTTAAATGAATGGGTGGAGATATTAGCGATAAAGGACAATGGTAAGGCGTTAACATAAACAACACATATTTATTCATGGATAATATTTTTATGAATTACACCAAGACGATGTTCCAGAGAAAACACTAAGCATGTGTTTCTTCCTAGTAGGCATCTAAGAACTCACCAAATATCGGCCTCAGGAATGCTTAGGTCTTGCAACAAGCTCTTGATATTTAGGACCATAAGTTGAAATTCAATGATTTACACTTCTGATTTTAATCGTTATGATCTAGCTTGTATTTGGAAGGTATATTTCAAAGGTAATTTTCATTATGAACTAATGTCATACAGAAAAAATCAAGGGACATTGGATAAATACTTTTTTCTAGTTTACAACCTCGGAGCAGTATGCACTCGCTATCCAGTACACGGGGCATAACCCAAGACTAAGCTTTAGGATAAAACATACTGTCCATTTCGTCATTGGTTCTCGATAGATTCCCTAGCTCCCACAAGTTCGTTATTTAAAAATTACCTTTACGAATATGGATCATTATGATTATCCGTGAAAAATAAACTCACCAATTCATGGAATTTTCTTGGCATTAACTCTTTAGTTATTCTGTCCCATAAATTAAAAATATTCACTGATAGGTATACATTATCTTCAGCATTGTATATAGATGTAATTATTCCTGGTGGTCTAACACCATCGCTCATTAATTTATCATAATTTTCCAACATTGGTAAAAGTTTATGGTGATAATATTGTGATAATTTGACAATTAGATTATATAAAACAGTGATATCTTGTTCTAGATGGCCAGTATTATTATCATAATTATTATTCGCTTGTGGACCATTTGATTCTGACCGTATATTGTTTAGATTTAAGTCATTCTCTTGTTGTTTCATCCAACTGAATTCTTCTTGAAGAGCAGTTGTTAAATTACTGTATTGTTTGTGAAAATTATTCAAATATATTATCTGGTTTCGTAAATTAATTTGCATGTCATTTAGTTCATTTTCAATACAATCAAGTTTGGCAATAGATTTGCAAGATAATGAATCCGTTGCTGGTGTACACTTTAACCTTCGTAAATTCTCTTCAATATATGTGAATTCTTTTTGAATTTCTTGTAAATCGGTAATCCGTTTCTCTAGTTTATTGGCAATTGTTGACGGACCAGTATCATTTGATGAGTCATTATTGTCAGGATCGTCAAGTTTATGAGCAAGTGAAACTAAATTCTGACTGATAAAATCAAGTTCTTCATTTATATTTACTGCAGAATTGCTTGTTTGCTTCTCTAGGCGTTCAACTAACATATCACAGCGTTTCATCAAATCAACACGTAAACATTTCAATGTTGATAAACGTGTAGCAATATGACCCTGATAATTCTCTTCTGAGCACAAAATAAGGTTTAAAAAAAGTTAATCACTACTAGAGAAGGGACAACATATTGAATGTTACAAAGTTCAAATATTGCCACCCGTCCAATTGTCTATGTTAACAGACTTACCCAACAGAACAGCTACAACCACTTACAACTGGTGACTGACATAGTGATCATAATCTCATTGTTAAGATGTGGTAAGAGGAAAACCTTGGGTAAGTACTCTCTAGTGAACTAGTTTGAATATTTATAAATGAGTATCTATCAAACAGTTATATTTCTACATAGCCCTAATTGCAAGTTATCTTTTAACGGTTGGAGTTAAGTGCAACTGTATGTATTGAACATGTCTATTGCAGCACAGCTCGATGCAGAAAACACAAGTATAGTAAACCTTAACGACTTAAAGTTGTGTTGAACTGTAGTCTCGTATTGTACTTACATAATAGTAAGTTCAGTATGAGACACAAAATGGTATCATCACTCATCAGCTTTTTGGTGTTCTGATTAATGGTTACGAAATGTGAAGATTTGTAAAGTTTATTAATCATTTGATAAATGTAACGGTTGAGTTACTGGGCTTACTGATAGTATGGTAGAACAAAAACCACGAAAATGAATAAGGGGAATATTTATTATTAAGAAAACATAACACGTATTTGAAGATTGTTTGTTAGCGTTTGTAAACCCTGATGTGACCGGCATGCACTGTAATACTACAATCGAGTTGTCAGTCAAAATAAGAATTCATAGTTTCTCGCATTACATGAATTTTGATCGAACACATTTCATATGGTTGATTTCATCTTGTTATTTCATGCAACCAATTATTACTAATTCTAAATGTTAGTTTTTTGAACGATTAATTTAAACTATCAACTGTACATACACTGGTAGGCATTTATTGAAATTAGTGTACCTGTTATATATATTTATGTGTGCTTTAATGTAATGGGGATTTTCTCGATACAAATCTAATATGTTGTACGGTACTGTTGGTGACAAAAAGAAGCTAGAACGAAGCCAATGTACATAAAAGTAAACTTTCAAATGTAAACGATAGATCACAGGTCAGTATGAATATAGCACAATTTGATTATAAAAAAATGTAATTGTGATATTTCCTGATTCGATATGTTTATTGTTAAAGGTAAACTAGAACTTCAGTGATGAATAGAAAACGCCAAATTACCTTCGAATTACTTTAATTCTTATCTTACTCAAAAAATATTCAATTCCATCTCACCCGATACTTTCATTCTATGATCTTGTATGTACTTTTCCAGTTATATCTCTAAGATTTTATCATAAAGTGCGATGGATATAAACAATTCTCTCCATTCATTTCACAATTTGGTAATTTACGTCGCCCGATGTACTGACATTAGGAGTAACAACTTAGATAGATATACAATTGCGTCCTACAATGCTAACGAGTGACGGCTTGACAACACAGTGCTCTCGATCATTGTTGTTGGTCTGGCACTAATTATCTTATCAACCAGTGATGTATAAAATGATTTGTATTATCTAACTTTGAAAATATTTTATCTTACATTTAGTTATAAAATTTCATTAATTTATATTGCTTTTAACCTAATTCAATCTAATTTAAACTACAAATTACGTCTAGTTTATTTCAGTATTGAATGTGCATCCACAAATTTAGAATATGTACATGATTCACGGGTGAACTTATCATTTCTGAGTACGCAGACCAGTTCTTTAAATAAACTGAACCTCATTCATCTAATTTAAGTGGGCTTATTCACCTACATGAAATACAAGCACTAATCATGTATTATGTAAATAATTTGCTAATTTTGTATCCAGTGTACTAAGTCAAATAAAACCATTAAAACATATTCTAACACAGATGTCGAAAATCCCATGATTACTAACGTTATGTTGTACTTTATATAACTACAAAAAAGAAATTTTTGTCACTGTATGAACAAACTGGAAGTGTAGGTTTTTTATAATTACAACAGTACTTTAATATCTGCATGATTCTTTTAATTGGAATTAACACTGAAGACTATATCTATGAACAAATCTTTTATTTATCTTCAGCTTTATGTGTTAAGTGATGAGTAGAGGATTTAAAATCTGAATGAAATGAAATAATTCAAGCATTAACAAAGAATCATATTACTGATGGATGTTACAGGAGATTGAATTAATAAAGGATTAATTTTACAACAACAAGGGTGTAATATTTCACGGATTTACTATTAATCACATTCTGATTATATTTTCTTGACAAAAATAATCTAATGTAAGTAGTTTTAGATATGATACAAGGTAAGTATGTTTCAAAGTAAGGGCATTGAGCAGAATTCAATAGGAACATAATAAACTCACTATAATTTTCAAGTGCATGTTTCAAAATGTTTCCTGTCTTTCAGATCTAAAAGCATTAAACCAGTGTTGACTAGGGTTGTTTTGTCAGGTTTATGAACCGGAGTGTTATAATTTGATTGCTGATATATCATTCTATTGTTTGTAATCACTTTAATATTAATCATTCGTTATTACTACCTCAAAGTTTTTAATTTATTCTTCACTCTTCTCATACTCGTCAAGCACGCAATTATCTTTCACATTTAATTTTAGCTTATCATATTTACTTAAATTATCGATCGTTGAACAAATTTCTTTAACACAATATGATGTAATCGTTCTGCTATTTTATTTATAAATTAACGATAAATACGATTGCAGAGCTTGAGTGAATGAGAGTGTCCAAAAGAATCATCTAGTTCAAAGAATTCAACTTCACAAAATTATTCTCCTGAGCTACAAATCTTCGTTATCGTCAACGAAAACTAAAGCAAAAACTGTATACATCCTTCAATGAAACTATGCTTGTAAAATAGATACAAATCAAATTACCTGGACTCATTTCTAACGTAGGTTCTACTTTTCCAGTTAACTGTGATAGATCAGTATACTCATTATATAAAATAGTTATAGTACTAGGAGTTACATAATCATCACTCTCTGATAAACATCTGTCCATATTCCAACTTGATATTATGTAATCAATTTGTGAAGTATCTTTCTTAATCAAAAGTAATAATTGGAAAATATTGTCAATTTCTTTGATATATTCATCACTAAGTTGTTCATTTGTTTCCATTTCTTCAAGTTCCAGTGAAATACGACTTAATCTATTTTCCAATTGAGTAAGAGATGAATTAATGAAATTAAATTGTATGAATGGTGACTCTTCATTATTCATTAATTCATGATGATTATTACATTCCACCATGTGATTATCTCTTGAATCCATTTCGTTTATATTGTTATTATTATTATTAATGTGATTAATATTACTATTAGTATCATTTATATTGTATAGGGAACTTGTTATTGAATCCAATACATTGTAATCAGACTGAGATGAGTTACAACAATCAACATTATGGTGGAGTTCAGGTTCTTCTGATAGGATGGACAATTCCTCATTATTATTATCATTAATATTACTATTATTATTGTTATTATTATTATTAATAACATCGTCACATTTATCAGTTCTTGGTAAATTAGTTTTCATACAAACAACACTATTATCTGTATTGTCAGAATCCAGTAAAGACTGAGCATCATGATCAATTGGAATTTGTTTTATCTGCATAGAAGATACCTCTGATAAAATACCAAATGTTTCATGAGAATCAATAATAGATTGTGTTTCCCATTTTATATGATCGATATTATCATCAGCATACAATGTTTGATAAGCTGAATCTTCATAATATTTATTATCGTCAATGTGTAGGAGATTTGAAATAGTTGAGACTGGTGAAAATTTATCATTCATTTGTGTAATATCATTTTCAGTGTTATCAGCATCTTCATTATCCTCATAAGCAACAACAGAAGTATCACCTTCATCTATTTGTGAGGTATTAGTAGTGATATTAGGATCCATATGGAAAGATGCCATAGATACAGACTTGTTTGTATGATCAAAGGAAATATCTAATTGTTCAAAATTTATTTGATCATGATTATGTGGTGTATTTAGTTGACCTTGCCAGATAATAAACATATCCCACTTTCTTGTATTGAGATCATTATCATCATTAATGGATGCAATAGTTTCATCAAGCAAAGAGAGAGGAATCACATGATGTCTAAACCTGATGAGAAAATTAAAATAGGGTTTTTTTCGAGTACGTTGATTTATATTTATTTGAAGGGCTTTTGTGCAGATTGTAGTAATTTCAATAGTTGAGATCATGGATCACTTGAAGCTATACTACCCTGGAATCCCGCGAGGCGGGGGTCATGGATGAGCACTTCTGAAGAGTCCCACAATAGGACGAAACGGTCGTGGTCTAGCTTCAATTAACTCATGATTTCAACTATTGAAATAAATTTATTTACTAAAGTATAAACTCGAAAATATTAACACAAGACATCAGAGCAGGAGAGTCTCAGTTTAAGTGAACTGCATTAGAGTCGATGGAGTGTAGTAGTGCACTCTTATGGTCAATTCCATACTGGTTCATATTCAGGACCTTTAAATTTCATGGTTAGCAAACGTTAGCTTTAAGACTAATAAGTTAGAATTCAGTCTCCAACATTTCTTACTTTATAGTCTTACTTTTTAATGTCTATTGTTACTAAAACTAAGAAAACAAATGACGGGATCTCTAACTTCATTTTTCGACTTAAGTTTAAACATAGTTCTTTCAAACAAAGATTAGTATAACTAAAAATCGTTCAAGATACTTTTAAGTAAAGTAAGAACTCTCTGTCTGGAAAACGTTGAAGATCCTCTAACTGTTAATGATAACGATGGTTGTGAAAATGGGAGACAAATAAATGTAAAAACCAATAACCTAACTCTTGGAAAGAAACTGATTTGCTATTCATTTTGTGTTCGAAATAAGGGATCCACAGAATGATCAAAAAGCAAAGGACTTGGAACTTCCTCAGAGAGTTTAGTTTGAGAGTACAATTGCAAAGGGTTCGGAAATTGGAATAAATGGATGTTCTCTCTACGTCAGATTCATTTTTTTTATAAAACAAATGCATCTGAAAAAGCATTGGTCAAGAATAATGCTTTTATCAAGCCTTATGAATATATTCCCATGATTATATGTCAGGAACTCAATCTTTCTTTAAAAAAGGTCGACAGTTCTGGACCTTTGTCAAGATGACAATTATGCATACAGGGTACCATGGTTACTTATGCCAAGCGATTTAAACTCAATCTCTCCAAACAAAAAATAGAGTATGTATCATCCATTTCGCTTTCAATAAACTACTTCCCATTATTTTAACTGCTGATTTGAGTTCCTCAGGATCCCTTGGTCCCTTCGGTTATTTACACAATTTTGTAGGGGCCATTATTCAAGCTATAACGGATTTTATGGAAAATCTATCTGTATATCCTAGTAACAGAACCTATTCAGTTACGAATAAACTACTTTACCATTATTAAAATGATTTGTGATTTATATATTTCAAAAGATGTAAGGAACTTCAATTCACTCTTTAGGTCAGAATACATTATTTGTCATTCCTTACTATATTACACCAGTTTAAGTTTGTTTAAAGTATTCTCAAGACCAAACCATAACAATTATGAGGGTGATGTTTCCAGTTAAGATTTAAAAGCAGTTGATTTCTATTAACTTAAATGACTAAATAATTGACATCATGTGATATAAAATCGAGTACATCGTAATAAAAACTATTCAAAAATTGACTAGCTTTTTCTGCACCCTTTATGACGCAATTTTGGAAAATTCCCTTGTTGACATTTGGTCTTGATTTCATCTGTAAACACTAATTCATATTACATCTTTCAATGATTAATTTATCTAATCAATATAGTAGGGAAATTTATGAGTAAAACTCAGAACACATACATATAGATAAATACATGTGAACACATGTAACTGATGGACGATGACATTGTTGAAGTTCATCCCATGAAATAATTCATTCAATCGACAGTCATGTCATTTTGTAGTGAAGTATTCTCTACTTTTTTAAATACAGATAGAGTTCAACATGAACTACCTCGTCATCCTCTCCGTAAATATATATGTATATAAGATTAATGCCGAAGAATGTTTTCCGTTTGACTTTCTATAGGCTTTTGGTAATACTCAATATTTAATTTTATGATGTGTAAATTTTTGTGCATTACCTATTATCCATTATTTTTACTTATCATTCTTTCCTGGGTTTTGAAGGAAAGATGTTATCGTTGGAAAGAGTCCTGAAGGTAGTTAGTAAGGTATATGATGAGTCTTTTGATGTAATTACGAATATGATTGTAGGCAGACATTTTAAATCTTGCGAATTACTGACAAATGTTATTTTATCAGGTGGTAAACGTCCACTCCATTCACCTCTTCAACCTTTTATATATTCCGGTAAGACGAGACGCTCTGATAAAGTAAGAGGGTTGGGCATCGGGTTAGCGTCCCCATCCCGTAGAAAACTAACTCGCTAAAAAAACGCTAACCAGAAAAAATTATTCAAACCATTTAGAAGTACGGTGCCATAACTAGCACATCACCGTCGAACAATCAGTTGAGTGGAACTTGTCACTGTACATCAACTTCATCGATTATGAAAAGGCATTTGACAGTGTAGACAGGAGGACGTTATAGAAACTTCTTCGACATTACGGAGTTCCTGAGAAGATTGTCAATATTATCCGGAACTCATATGATGGACTACAGTGCAAGGTCGTGCATGGAGGACAGCTGACAGATGCATTCCAAGTAAAGACCGGAGTCAGACAAGGCAGTTTACTCTCTCCCTTCCTCTTTCTTCTGGTGGTCGACTGGATTATGAAGACCTTAACATCTGAGGGAAAACACGGCATACAATGGACAGCTCAGAATTAGTTAGACGATTTGGACTTCGCAGATGACCTGGCCCTCCTATCGCATACACACAAATGAATGCAGATAAAGACAGCCAGTGAGGCAGCAGTCTCTTCATCAGTAGATCTCACACATATACAAAGGGAAAATCAAGGTCCTGAAATTCAAAGCGGAGAACAGCGATCCAATCACTCTTGATGGCGAAACTCTGGAAGATGTAGAGTCCTTCACATACCTGGGAAGTATCATCGATGAACAGGGAGGTTCAGATACAGACGTAAAGGCGAGGATTAGAAAAGTAAGGGCAGCATTCCTACAGTTGAAGAACATATGGAACTCAAAACAACTGTCAACTAATATCAAAGTGAGAATCTTCAATACGAATGTCAAGGCAGTTCTACTGTATGGAGCTGAAACTTGGAGAACTACAACAACCACCATCAAGAAGGTACAAGTATTTATAAATAGCTGTCTGCGCAAAATACTCAACATCCACTAGCCGGATACCATCAGCAACAGCCTTCTCTGGGAGAGAACAAACCAGCTTCCAGATACAGAGCAAATTAGGAAAAGACGGTGGAAATGGATAGGACATACATCACGCAAATCATCAAACTGCATCACGAGACAAGCCCTAACTTGGAATCCTGAAGAGAAGCGGAACAGAGGAAGGCCAAAGAACACATTTCGTTGGGAAATACAAGCAGATTTGAAAAGGATCAATAGGAACTGGAAGGAGCTGGAAAGGATTGCTTTGGACAGGCTTGGATGGCGAATGCTGGTGAGCGGCCTATGCTCCTTCACGAGGAGTAACAGGCGTAAGTAAGTAAGTATAGCTAGCACATACGCTACACAACGAACAGATCGTGAGAGCTGACCTAATATATATAAATTAAGTATTACGGTAGAGGATGAGCAATACAACTCTATTTTTTCTTTACTGAATACTCTAAAAATGTATTAAAATTTATATTAATGAAGGTTGGTTATATCAGGATCGAAATAGGACCGGAAAGTTTTCAGTTGAGTTACAGAGTCGCAGATGGTTTTTTATTCGTCTATCCTCAAATGTCATAACAGGTAATGTAAACTAAGCTTACACCAATTCTTTTGAAATTAATTAAATTAAAACGTATTTATGCTTACCAACTGAAATAAGCAGATGTTCTATAGGAACACCCATTGTTCACTTGTTGGTTTTGTTCACTATGAATTAATTCGTTTTGATCCTGTGAGATGGCTGAATTAACCAGTTCCTTTCCAGTACACTTCAAAAAGTGTGATTTGCTTTGAATAGTTATAATTAATTCACTGCGATAGTATGAAATAAAATGACATGGACTTGTACTGTAATATTTTTCATGACATTTATTACTGCTGAGCCTCTTTGCATGTGTTGCATGTTCAATGCCGATTGTTATATTTAAAACGGTTGTATACATTTCTACAGGTGAACAGAAACCTGTCGGATCCATATTTAGACCAATCATACAGTTATATTGTTTACTTTTCAAACTCTGTAATGGATAAAAATAGAAGGATAAAATTACAAAGTCATCATTGATTAAAAGTGAAATGTATCAGATAGGAGTTGTTGAAAAACTACTAACAATTAATTAGAACCGATTAAGTAGACGAAACAGGGAAAAAATATTTGTCAACATCGAGAAGAAACAGACTATAATTAACTGCTAATTTTATGTCTCAGTCGTCATATTTCGTTTACTTGGAATATGGTCAATTCGATAATTTTCTCGAGGATAAGATTAACACAAAGACATATGTCACCTCAGATAGATTGGCTGTCAGTTATTGTTATTATATACCGGATTACAACTATTATAACGATTTAACTTAGTGGTAAGACTACTAGAATAAATACGATAATCAAACTGATAAATTACTAACGAGAACCAAGTTGTACAGCGACCAAGTAGATTGAAGAAAACAATTAATAACCAACTAACTGAGCTTGTAAATATATACTGAAAACCATGAAGAATGGTTTCAGTCAGTCAGTAACAACGTAGAACTTCGTATGTACGTACATCAGTTCGAGTTGCCACACCACATCAGCACAGAAATGCAGTTGTCGATTCAAATCCCGTAGTGATAGAGGCGGTAAGAGTATAAGCAGTAATCGGAAAGATTAGGGTTCGAAGATGTTATTTAAAGAGTATAATCCAGTGAAATAAATTCGGAAAGAGAAAAAAAGAGACAAGGAGAATGGTTGAAGTAGAATAACCACCGCGGATACGATAAGGATGTATTTCCAGCCCGGTTCTGAAATACCCAGTATGATGAAAGATCAGTACTCATTGAACATAAAGCACCAATTTATTCTGTAGGATATTGAATTACAATAGCCAGTGCATATTCAAACCCTACCAAATATATTCTTGAAATTATTACTACTATTAATTTTTCGATTCCAATGTGGTCGCTTACTTTCATTTTCTAATATAAACCAGCTTTTATGAGAGATCTTAAACTCTTGCAAAACATTTAACATATCATTTATATAAGAAAAAAATAAACATTTGATTGATGTACATTTGAAGAAGAATTCAACGTATCTATCAGATCGTTAGAAGAAAAATTAAAGATATATCCATGTACAAATATTAGTGAAATTCATTAGCACAAACAGAATCAAGATTGTCACTTTTATTACACATTGACAACTTATACTTTTTATACAAAATTCAATGAATAAAATCTATTTGTTATAAAATATTTTGTTTTAATGATTGAACTTTGGATATAAATATTAGTTGGAATTTGTTTGTAACACTAATTATCATTTATAGGCTAGTTCATTCACACACACACACACACATAGAATTCATTTGATCTTAATAAGAAATCTATGTAAAATTGCAATAAAATATGATAGTTCTACAAGGACAAAACTACAATATATGGATATAAATGTACTCAAATTAACATTTCATCGTGATCATAGTAATCTTTCACAAAAATAGAAACTTAAACAATAGATATTAATCAATTGAAGAAAATGAAAGGAAATCTATAAGGAGTAGATGGGAATGTCTTTAAATGAATTTCATAAATCATGACAAAACAAAATGTTGAATTTGACTAATCAGTCAGTCAGAAAAACATGGCGAATATATGCATCAGTCCAAGTTACTATGCCATATCAGAGCATTGAGATCAAATTATATAATGTAATAGTAAAAGTAGTAACATTATCAGTGATAGTAGAAAAAAATTGTATATAGACAATAGGATTCAATAATAAATGATGACTTCACCGAATAAGAAGTATAAGATCTAAGCTATGACAAAAAGTGAATGGATCTACTCCCGTAATGAAAAACTTCTGAGCCATGTCACTTAAAGTCTTCACCCATTGTTTACCATACTTTCGCGTACCCTAGCCCGGTAGTTTGAATCCAATAACACAGCTCAATCTAACAGTTTATGATTTCATGGACTGATATCATGTCTTAATTGACCAAATGTTTAATTACTCTAGTTTTCATTAGGTCTTTATAAGTATTGTCAATTTGTTATGAAAATAATAAAATGAGACTATTAAAACGATCAAACTGCATCATGAGGCAAGCCCTAACTTGGAATCCTGAAGGGAAGCGGAAAAGTGGAAGACCAAAGAACATATTATGTCGGGAATTAGATGCAGATATGAAAAGAATGAATAACAACTGGGAAGAGCTGGAAAGGATTACCCAGGACAGGGTTGGATGGAGAATGCTGGTGAGCGGCCTGTGCTCCTCCACGAGGAGTAACAGGCGTAAGTAAGTAATTAAAACGACGTAAAAAAAAATACAAGTTATATGTATATATCTATGATTAATATCTATAGATTCGAATTGACACAGCTTCAAATCAATGAAAATGAAGAAACAACAACAAAGTGAAGTTAGTACATATTGTAAAAGACAAAAGTACTGAAAAATTGAAAGATAATTATGCGAAATAAAAAGTTTTGAAAAATTATTTTGATGATATAAATGGAAAAAAAAACTTAAGAGAAAAATAAGAAAATGTAATAATCTATAATGACTTCAAAAAGAAAAACACAAACAGTGAAAAGAAATAAATTATATTTACCAGTCAATTCTTTAAAAGTAAATCTGAAAAAAAGTACTAAGAGTTGACGTTAAATGAAATTGGAACAAGAAAAATAAAAGGTCTTTTTAAGAATTTTTTTTTCACAAAAGATAAAATTAGTACACATATAATTGAAGTGGGCGGGGGGGGAGAAGGAGGGATGTAGGTAAATTGGGGGGGAAAAAAAGTCACACTAAGGTGTGGTCATATTTTTTTTTTAGAAAACAAAAACACATTTCCAGTATTAATTTCATGGCTTGAATTACTGGTACTAAGAGAAAAAAACTTTTTGAGAAAACAATTTTAACTAATGGACAAAAATTTTGATTCGAAAAACAACAAACAATTAACTAGAATTTATGAATAGAATTATCTTTAGGATCGGTATGTTTAGTTTGGGATAGATTGTTTACTCTTTATACATTTTTATCAATAAAACTTAATAAGTATCGATTGTTTTTTGTGTGAAATGGTTAATTTCAGAATAACCAGTTCATTTTCTAAACAATCTGATCAAGAAATTTTACGATAACTTGAAAAGAGAGAATGAAAGAGATTTGACTTTCTCATTAATTTAATTCATTTGTTAAAGTAAGTCAGTTGCTCGTCCTGTAAATGTTTCTATACATCGACTTTTATAGTATTCTATCACTATGTTTAGTTAATAATTCACTTAGAAATGGAATTGGTAGTTAAACTCACGTTCCATTATAAACTTAAGTGAGTGTGGCATATTAAACGATTTGAAGAATGTAAACTTTCATCGAATAACGTGGGTAGGACATATGTTACATATACTCACACAACACCTACCTCAATGAACTTTAGTTGTTAGTATAGGAGTAAGTTGAAAGGAAGTTAAGGATGAGTAAACTGAAACTTGACATCAGTCCATGAAGTCAGTTACTGTTTGCCTGAGCGATATTCACAGTTTCAGAATACTTGGTAGATGTCCATCTGATAACCACAAACTGTGATTGAAAACGTTTAGTGATAGGACTCAGAATCGTTCACACAATAATGCAGATGCATTCACTATTTATCGTACACTTGATCATGAATTGCAGAATTACTTCAAACGATTTTCCATTTTGTCCCATTGAATCATAATACTTGTTCTCAGTATAATTGCTATTATATTGATCTATTTTGGAATTCATCTCATCCTAACATCAAATTTCACATCAGACATTATGAATATGTCATCAACATAACTCATTTGGATAGTGATGCTTTCCAGTTCGTTACTTTTAAGGATGATTATAAGAAAATCGACTAGTAGTGTACTCAGTCAGTACTTTACTCAAGCAAACAGTATTTAAGTTTTCACTAGAAACAAACCTTGAGTTACATTTTTCGGGGCTTTTAAAGAAAACCATGAGTTAAAATGAGACCTTAATTTATTGATTCCATTGAGACATCATGAGTCAACTGAAGTTAAAAATATGAACAATTAAATTGTAACCTAATGAATCCAAAATATTACCCTTGTTATGAGACCTAAAGTGTTTTGTCGTATATGAGCATATGGATGCACACTCATAAAGAGTTGAAAGTTAAAACAAATGGTATTTTTCAATATTACATCAGTAAGACTTGTTTAAAAATAATACTCTTCACGAAACACAGATTTAGCAGTCGACTATCGACAGTGAACTTAATTTGATTGATGGTTACATTTTTCATTAAATTACAGTAGGTCCTGAGTTCGAATCTCGCAAGGGGTGAGGTCGTGGATGCGCACTGCTGGGGAGTCTCACAATAGGACGAAATTACATTTTATTCCAGGCGAATTAAACGAAAAGATCTGATGATAAGAATCTATTCAATCACTGAAATGATTTATTTACAAATAATTAAACTTTATTAACAAATATAAAAATAATGTTTCATTATGTTATCGAACAAACACTAAAAAACAACCAATTAGCAATAGAAATTCTCATAGTTTACAACTGGTCCAAATAACATACATGTAACTATTTACATTGGCAAATATTTGTTAGTTAAAATTTCACACAATTAAAAATATACACTAAATAATTTCAAAATACACTTATGAGATTCAATTGTTTGACCCGATACATTCGTGAAACAACGGAAATGATTCCGTTTGTATTAGTTGTTTGAAACTTCCCAGTGATGTTTATGACTGATCAGTCAAATAAAAATGACTCAAAATTCAAATCATTGTACAAGCCAGTGGCTATCTGGATTCTGTATCCAATGGATAATGCGATGACGTTCAAAGTGCACGGTACTGGGTTCGAATCCTAAGGCGAACGTCAACTCTGAGATGCAGGTGCATCCAGCTGACGAGCCCCGAGTAGGATTAAACGCGCGCCCTAGATTTCACTTCTAACCACCATTTATCTCTCTTTGTAGTCGAAATTATGCCGATTTCAGCAATCAAAGTATC